AATGAATTTCATAGAATTGAGGGCACAGTAGTTTATCGTATATATTTTGCTAGCTAAATTATCTTCTATCGGTGTGCATTATTCAAATTTTAAACGTTATTTTGAGGCATTAGAATGTTTATTAGTAACTTTTTTCTTTCTGTCAATAGTAGAAATTGGGGGTTTAAAGGAAGAGTTAATATTACTAAGGCCAATTCAAATTCGACAAGCTCTATGAGTATATTTTATCACAAGTAATGAGAGTTCTAACAGTTCAAATTGAGACATTTCTTGCGCTTATACTGCCTTAACGTCTTTGAAATCAAACATATTTTGAAATGTACTACACGTTCATACGTGCGAGATTAGTTAGGATATTAGTGTTTATGGGGGTATTTAGATGAATGAAGGAAATATCTTTGAGGGTCTTCTCTCCATATTTGGAGAGATTGCTTACAAGGTATAATGTGTTAATTACTGTGAACATTTTTATTTATATGTCGGTATATTGGAGAGCAAGGACGAACCATGCGGAAGCTGGTGGGCCTGTGACATCCCGACCCGGCAAAACGATCCTAAGAGGGCGGGTAGAGTCGGGCGTGACATTTTTGATGGCATAATCATAGTTTATGTAAGATCTAAAAACAACCTTGTTCACCCATTAACAAAAGGACTCTCGAGAGATATGATAACGAGCACTGCGAATGCTATAGGTCTAAAGGTGATATAATTTATCACTAATAACAGGAACCTTACCTTTCTTATCGCTTAGCAATTCCAAAGATTTAAGAGGTAAAAAGTAAATTATTGATTGTGATGGTTAGTAAGTACTAATAAAATATAGCACTTAAGAAAAAGAGGTTGAGTATGATTTTACTCTAAATGAAGAAATAGAGTTCTGTTAAGAACTAAGAAAGTCCAAATCTAGGACTATTTAAATTTAGGACTTGGTTAAAGACTTCAGATATGTAAACACAAGAAGTGGTGTCGCTTCGACCAAAGTTAGGAATATAAAACTTTGTAAGTGTTTATGAATTCAAGAATTAGCACAAGATCGATATATGCTGCTAAAACTCATGGTGAACAAATTAAGAATTTGACTTAATTTAATAGTAACTTTTTCTTTCTTGTCAAATAAGAAATTGGGGTTTAATAGAGTAATATCTAACCATCAAATTCGACAAGTCTTGAGATATTTATACAAGTAATAGGTTCAAGTCAAGAGACACCTGTTATATGCCTAAGTCTTTGAATCAAACATATTAATTACTAACTAAGTGGGAGATTATTAGTATAGTTAGTGATTATATGAAGAGGAAAACTATCCCATATTAAAAGCTTACAAGAAAAGTAAGTGTTATAAACATTTATTATATCAATTTGAATCAAATAGATGGTGAAAAATTTTGGAGGGAAATTAAAATTTGATTATGAAATTTAAAATAATATTAATAGTCAAAGATGTTCACTTGGGTTTTAGCAGTTGTAGTTGTTAAAATTGCTGGTGTATGTTACGTAAAATTATGTTTCTTTAAAAAAGTCCTATTGTATTATAAATACACGTTCTTTGCAATATTTTTACTCATCCTCAATAATTTTTCTATGCGCTTGGCTTTGTAGAATCCTGAGGAACTCTACTTTTAGACCAAACAACAAAATAAAGGGGCATTAATTCCTTAAGAATAGTAAATACATTAGTAAAGTCAGTTTGTTTTCCATCTTACAAATTATATTTTTTCTAACAATAGGTATATTAAATAACTATTTAATTTTTTGTCTGCTACTACTTTATGATTCTCCCGCGTTTAAAGGTTTACTCAGAAACCACATAAGATAATATGAACTATTTACTTTGGCATGCTTCCCAAAGTTACCAAATTAAATAAGTTTCTCTATAAAAATAGAATAAAAAAAAGTTTCTCTATCTAAATAGAACGGAGGAAGATCACTTAAAATGATAATGACCTTATAATAATAAATCTAACTCTAATTCTAAATCATGAAATTATTAACTATCTAAATTTGGTATTAAAGAAACTTTTAAAGTCTATCTAAATCATGAAAATGTAGGTCTATATGTAACTTAAATAAATTTTCATCTTCAAAAGGCAAAATAAACTAAGACTTAATATTAAAAATAAAGGAAAATCCTTATATTTGTGAATATAGAATGCATCTATATGTGCATATACGTGAAACGCAAAGGGAATATACTACAAAAGATTATATCTTGCATAGAAGCATAGAGAAACATTTAGATTCATAATCAACTACCTTTCAAATATTACTTGGGCTTCGACTACGTCTGGCTCACGTACTGCATGGTTCATATAGGGGGGCGACTCTCTGAGCGTGGCAATTTTCATGCTCAAGGCTCAAACTCGAGACTTTTGGTTAAGAGAGAAGGAGTCCCAACATGTACAATGCCCAAATATAAATAGAAAGGGGACAAACCATATAACATATAAGTGAAGGAGCCAAAATGGTTGGAGAGCTTTGGAAAAAGTGGAGAAATTAGAATTCAAATGGTGAAAATGTAAACCCTTTTTTTTGTCTTCCTAAGAAGAGGGGGGTAATTGACCCCCTCCTCCAATGAGTAGCTTCGTCCTTGAGTCCCAACTGCTCCATCTCAACTAACATTGTTTACCCCTTGTTTAATTCTAACATATAGCAAGCTTAACTTATTTAGTACATAATACGATCAATGAAACTACACAAATATCACAAGAAACAAGATCAATAAAACTACACAAATAAAACAAGAAACAAGATTTGTATTGACATCTCTACTCGTGCTTAAAATACTCGATCTCTTGCTTAACCAGTAACGGAGCCCTCCTACAAATTATGTTGAGTAAAAACTAAAATACTTTTTTTCAAAAATTTTTTAATTTGGGGCCTTAAGTTTGTCCCTGTACTTAAATAGACCTGAGTTTTTTGTACTCAGACCAAACTCAATTAGTAAAAATAGTTAAAATGTTAATAACCATCTAATCATATTTACATTAAATTCATTGCAAACAATCTCTTACTAATTGGATTTCGTTTAAATTCTATAGTTATACATAATTGAGGGCTTAAAATTCTCTTAATCTAAATTTAAGAATTAAAAGCTCATAAAATCATTTCATTTCTTACATGTAATATAGAATTGATGCTATAATATTTCTATTTTGTTAATTAAAGAAAATTCACTAATCCAACGTAATCAACATATATACAATCAATTGATGACAATTAATCCTTCATCGGGAATAATTATAATTAATTGTTCAAACGTGAAATGCAAACTTGAAATGATACTTCAGTGCGTCTGAGAATATCAAATAGAGTTGTTGGGTGACTGTGGCTAGAGTCACACGTTTTTCCAAATTTTATTTATTTCTTTTTTTCAGAAGACCAAAGAAGGCTTACTTTTATTTTTACGAGCCAACATTCCATCCGTTCCCTTTAAACCAAAAAAATAAAATAAACTTAACTTTTTGAAAGAAAATTAAATGGAATTGAATTATAAATCAGATTAAATAGAATTAAATCGATTCAATTTGTTTTTAATTTTGACTATTTTTTATTAAATCAGTTTGATTTTCAAGCTTTCATAAACCTAGACTCAATCGGAAAAATTTATAATGTGAGCTTACATGGATTTAGACAAATTAATGCTAAAAGATTAGTACTAACCAATTAACTAGTTAGCTTGCTACTCTTATATGTTCTTTGTGGTTTTTGTATTTAGGCGATGTGAGATTCTTAACAGAATCGAACAAATTACTTCTATTCGCTTTGTTCAATTTTACCAAAAACTGCAATTAAATTTACTTAATAAAGTAGTTATCAAGTTTCCAATTAAATTTATGAAACTGGCTGAAAAAAATCCTTTTAATTGAAATTATGAAGCACATCTTTTAGAAGAAAATTATTTTCATTTTTCAATTCCTAAGCACATCTTCATTTTCTAATAATACCATAGGTTTATATCAAGAAACTACATTTACTAATATATCATAATTAGAAATATTTCATAACTAGAATATACATTTAGAGGGAAATATTCAAGAAAGGAGATAGGCAGTACTTGTAGATGAGGATAGTTGAGGCAGGCTTGAAATTAATAGAGAGGGCTTCTTTTGCTTCTTTCCCAAAGATTATGAACTTAATATTATTATTTAAGAATTGTGTGTGCTCTTAAAAGCTTGGTAAACGGTCTTTTTGTGTTCAAGACTTATAAAATAGAATACTTAGGTGAGAAGAGTAGGCAACCTACCTACATACTTTTGATCACTTCCTTAATTTCCAACTTCTAACTCCTTCATTGTACACTTTGCGCTTTCTAACATCCATTTGCCCCTCAACTTCCTTTAAACTTCAACTTTGCCCTCCCTTTCTATATGACTTGGATAAATTTAATTTTTGGAAAAATTATAGTACGATCCTTGTAGTTTGCGAAATACAATTAATTTTTCCATGTATTTTTTAAATATATCAATTTGTCCATATAGTTTGCTTTTATTACACTATTAGGTCATTCTGTCCAATTTTTGTATATTTTCTGTTGAGTCAATGAAAAACAGAGGTCAAAGGAGGAATATTAAAATTTTATACCAAAAAAATTGCAGTATGATCTATATTGTTTGAAAATACAACTAGTCTGTCGTTGTGTTTTTAAAGATATACTAAAGGTGAGAAGAGATACAAGTGACATTTTCACCATAAGGCACTTAACGGGAAAGATACAAAAACTGGACAAAGGACTTTATAGTTTGATGAAAGTAAACTATAAGAAAAATTTTAGCCTATTTTCTAAAATACGAAAATTGACCAGTTGTATTTTCTAAATCACAGGGATCGTAATGTAATTTTCCTTTAATTCTTTTCTTATTATGTTGAGAACGCTAATGGAAAATGTATTGACCAATGGGGTCAACCTGAGGGGCATATTGGAAATAAGAAGACATAGAGATGGCAAAGTGAAAGTTTAATTATTTATAAAAGCTGCAAGGTACAGCCACATCTACATTCCCTCCTTTATAAATGCCATATCTTACGAAACAGAACAAAACACACAAAGAAGATGAACTACTTTAGCGGCTACTGCAATGTCGTGAAGGTCATTTCCATGACCTTCAACTTCTTGTTGATGATGATCTTCCTTCAACGTTCATCGTCAATGGCAGAAGGTTTTGAGTTTTCGAGCAGAGAAGAAATGGTGAGATTTGCTGGTTATGGAGAAGAGAAGCTATCTACTGTGCTTATCACAGGATCAATTCTTTGCGAGGCTTGTTTGCACTCTCAACCCAAGCTTCAAACATGGCCGCTTTCAGGTATGTGTCCATGCATGTCTATATATACATATATATAATCATCTAATAGCTTCAAATCTATGGCCGCTTTTTTTCCAGGTATCTGTTCCATGCATGTTTCTTTAATAATATTACATTTATTTATTTATCATTCTTTAATATATTATATATATATATATTTTAGTCGTTATTATAGTATAGATTATTAAGCTTGTCAATACTTTCATCTAGTAACCTTTCAAAATGTTTTGTTTAATTAATTGTTCTCTCTTCCCTAATAATTTTCTTTAATAAAGCATTCTTTAGTAAGTTATTTGTAATATACACAAAAGAGAAACAAAAAGAATCTTGATTTCATTAACAGAGTTGAGATGGAGCTAGTGTGTTTTTCCTTTTCTTTTTCTTTTTTTTTTTTACCATTTTGTTGGATTTTTTAACTAGTAGTTCAAATGATTAGTTTGTATAAGGTAAATTTAACAAGTCATCATTGTTTTTTGAAAATATATATACATAAAAGCTTGCATACTTTCATGCTAGTACTTCAAAATGTTTTTGTTTATTAATTGTTCTCTCTTCCTAATAATTTCTTAATAAAGCATTCTTTGTAAGTTATTTGTAAATACACAAAAGAGAAACAAAAGAATCTTGATTCATTAACAGAGTTTGAGATGGGAGCTAGTGTGTTTTTCTTTTCTTTTCTTTTTTTTTTTTTACCTTTTGGATTTTTTAATGTAAGTTCAAATGATTTGTGAAAGTAAATTTAACAAGTCTCTATTTTTTTTGAAAATATTTTCCTAGTTAAAAGGAAAATTAAATCATTTCTTTTGAAATGATTTTTTCTTTATTTTTTAAGGGATGAAATATTTTTCAAACATTGAGAAACCTATTATTATATTAAAAAAATATTTCTAAAAAAATATTTATTATTCCACAAATTATCGATGGTCAATATTACCCATTGCCAGTAATAAACTATGTCACCATTCATCAGTTTCTAATCACCAGCTGCTACTACAATTTTATCATTTTTATATATATTTTTTCATATTTACAATAAATTTAAATAATGAAATTTTTATACTTTAAAATAAATTTATAATCACACAAAATAAATTTTTAAAATTTTTAAAGTAATTTTCCACATTGCAATCAAATAATAGAAAATGAGTAATTTGAAAATATATTTCAAAAAGTAAACAAGCTTCCAAAGTTTTAATTTAATTCTTTTATATTTTTTTACAATAGGGGTAATACTTAATTCTGTGAGGGCATTTCATATCATCCTCATAACACAGATGCATAGTAGTTTTCATTCATACTTGTGATCAAAGAAAACCCAGAAGAGAATTAGAGAGCAAGTCATGTGTGCATTTATAGGTGAAGGGTCACAGCAAACATTATTCAGACAATTGCCAAAATAAGCATAACATAAACTTTTTCTTTTCCCCAATGCATTTAAGTGCCTAATTAATTTTGATAATTTCATCATTTTCTCCATTCACTAATTAATGGAACATATAAAGGCTATTTAATTTCCAACCTAAACTTTGGATCATTCAATTTTAAATTTTTCTATATTTTTGACAATTAAGAGATCTTTTATTTAGAAAAAAATAAATGAATATGATTAATTTACCATAAAAAAAATAATTGTTGATCATGAGTTAAATCAAATGCATAGATACCTCATTATCCTGGTGGTTAGAGAATCAAATGTCTTCTCCTTCCTCCACCCGCCCTTTTTTTTTTTGAGTAAAAATAAAAATAACTTACAATTGAGAGGTCCTAATTGATTGTTAAATACTCTCTATTTATTTATTATTTTTGCTCCTATCTTGTTTGCTCAGGTAGAGAATGTCAAGAATAAAAGCTAAGATCTAACCAACTTTACCTTTGACCTATGTTCATTTTATAACATATTGCCTAGAATTGAAAGATACATATATAAGCCACATCAATTAGCAACTTCTCACCATAAATTTTTAGTAGAAAAGACAATTTCATAATTAAGAAATAAATTGATTATTTAAATTAAAAGAAAGGATACCATTTTTAGGACATAAGTAGATTTTATTTCTTGATTTTCATTTGATTGAAAACAAATTTAATTTCTAATAGGCATACAAGGGTTGAAAGGAACATGTGTTAATGAATTTAGTGTTGGAATTAAACAACATAAACACCCCTCTCTTTCAAAGGATCCGTTACTTAAGTTGCAGTGTTTTATGCTCAGCTAAAACAGTTGAACCATTGTTATTAATAAACTTAAGCAATGCACAAGATGATGTATATAAACTTGCACATAACAAGGAAATATGTAAAGAAAATAATCTTTAGATGTAATAATATCACCCTAAACTCAGGTATATTTGAGTAATCAAATTATCATTAGCAAACTATTAACATATTTGCCAATAAGGTGTCATTTGGGACGGTAAGAGATCTTAATTCTCAAAGGTGAGAACACAAGTTAGATCCCTAGGAAGCTCGAAAAAGCCAAAAAAACATTTACTCTATACGGACTGTGAGGTTCAAACATTCTAGTTATACCAACAAAAAAGAAATATTGACATATTTCATTGGTTACTGATAGTGATATAATTATTTGTTTCTTTTAATTATTTGAATTTTGTTAACATCCCAATTTGGTCTTGATAGGTGCTTTGGTTGCCATCAACTGTGACATGAAAGGGAAGTGGATTAAGGCAAGTTCTGCACAGGCAGTGACCGATGAATATGGAGATTTCCAAATTGACCTTCCTTCCCATCTCCATGCAATTCCCAATTTGGAAAGCACATGTTCAGTTAAGGTTCTGAGAATACCAAAGAACTCAGCCTGCAAACCAGCATTTGCAAGAAAACACAAGGCACTCACATTATCATCTGCTGGCGATGGCATCCGCGTTTACACCGCCGAAAAGATAAAATTTCTGGACTTGAAATCTAGATCTTTAAAAGCTTGCCTTAACAGAGAAAGCAACTATAAACAAGTTGCATAAATACTTTGTTTCTAAGTAGAGAGCTGCAGCTTATCTGGATGGCGCGTTAGTCACAGCAATGAGTTGCAGAGGTTCAATTTCAATCTGTCGGTTTTACAAATCATATGGAGAGAGAGAGAGAGAGAGAGAGAGAGAGACTATGCATATAAATATGGTTTCATGTAAATATGATAAATATATAGTAATGATGATATGTGACATAATGGCTATGTATAGGCAACAATTTAATACCAAAAAGAGAGACATTTTTGAATTATAAAAGAAAACACATAAAAAATCTACATGGTATATCATCCTTGGTGAATCCTAAAACCATTAATTAACTCAGGAATTGGAAGACTTCTGCTCCACCCCAGAAACTATATATTTTGCAACATCAGCACAGCAAGTAAGCTTATCAGCTTTTTCATCAGGGATTTCAATGGAAAATTCTTGCTCAAAAGCCATAACGAGCTCCACCCTGTCTAAGCTGTCCAGGCACAAGTCTTTTTGAAAATCAGCTGTTTCAGTAACCTGGGTACAACCAATTTAATTCCTTTCAATCTTTTATAACCAAGAAAAGGAAAAGTTAACCCTCTTTTGGTATAAATGAATATGAAGCATAGAATTCATTGAATTTGATTTAGTTAGGTTAGTTCCATTTAACTTAGCCTTTAGAGTTGAACATTTTCATTTCTAACAAACATAAAAACGTGAAATTCTGAACAAAGTCCACAAAATTTTATGAAATTAATTTACACCAATAGGTGAAACTTCCTTTTTTATGTCATGTGCCAACTAGATAATCAGCATCATCACATGGCGTATTTAATTTCAAATTAAATAGAAAGTAAGGTGGTCTGCCAACATACGAAGAGAGAGTAAATAAATTGAAAAGGAAATGAGCATATTCACCTTAGTGGCATCAATTTTATCAAATTTCTTAACCAATCCTACCACCTGATCCATGATTTGATCGGGACTGGGACCACTCAATGCACAAAATTGCTGGAGCAGTTGCTTGAAAATGTTTCTTCTTTGAGCAAGCAATTGCTGATCAGCAAAACTTCTCAGCCTCACATGGCTCAAGATGGAGTTTCTTATACTTTGCATGTTCCCACAGGTTGAAAGTACCTTCATTCAATCAGATGTGCAAATCATTTAACATAGAAGTGCTAGCAAATGGTAAATTCCATTAAGTATGCAACTGACAGCTGCATGATGATCAAAATAAATCAAGGACAGAGACAAAATCGAGAACTATATGTTCCCAGACAAGTTCTTATCAACCTCCAAAGATGTAGATATACCGTAAAGAATACACTTCATTATTGAAGGTGCTGCTTATAATCAAGCATAAGTGCATGTGCATGTAGCAGTGGCCAACCCTAAAATGTTTATCAACTAAAGTGAACTAGTTAATCAAAAGCAAGTAATGAGGTTGAAATATACATCACGGTCTACGTATCTACCATCACAGAACAATGAATAACCATAACAGTTACACAATGGTACTGATAACGACAGCTATAATTTATCCATGATACACTAGCACTCGATCGTAACTGAAAACCTTGATGCACATAGAAACACTATAATGCAAATTCACCAAAAATAAAATAAAATAAAATAAAATAAATAAATAAATAAAGTTTTCGCTTATCTCCTATTGATTGATGCATTCATTTTCAGCAATGGGGACCATGAATTGGACCATATGTACATCAGCAGAGAAACATCTGAGAAACTTCTAATTAGTACAAATAAATTCAAAATATAAAATTGATCTATAAATGGACAAAATTTTGTTTCATTTCGTTAAATTTCATAAAATTGAATCTATATGAGTGAAATCAACCTTTTCATTCGCATCAAACATCAAATATATGAAATTCCAAATGAATTCACAAAATTAAATCCAACTAGGATATTAGTAGGAAAACAATGAACATGAAACTAAACAGCTAAAAAGGCTAAGAATCAATCTAATACTCTGTATTGTACAACATCAAAGACAAAAGAGACATGGATTAGCATCATCCGGAAGCCGAAATGATCCAGAGAAAAGGATTCAAAAGCGTTCAATAAAGCACGCATTGCAAGGAAAAAGAAGATATAAAAACTACCCATATTTAATGAAACAGATCATAAAAAACAAAGTGAGCTCAATGAAGAACCTAGAACTTATTAATTAATAAATAAAAAAAGAAGCAAAAAAGCAAAAGGGTTGAAAAGAAAGAGTAAATCAACCACAAGATTTTATGCGCCACTGTTATTCGATTTGAAGAATCGTCGTCGAGGTGTTTGCTTTATTGCCGCACTGAGGTAAGGATGAAAGAAGAATCTTGCTTTCGTCCGCCGTTGCTGCTGTTAATACAATACTGTTAGAGGTGAAATAGGCCTTTCTTGAAGTATTTTTGGGCCTGCTATAGCAGACAGCTTTGGCGTAGTATGCTGGAGAAACGCTCAGCCCATCGGAGGCCCTAAACTATAGAGGGGCAAAGCTGACAATTTAAGGTAAATATATGATAAACAAACGAGCATTGGGCATATATAATATAAATACAATTAAAAGTGTAGAAAATTCAATTCAATATGGCTAAAGTAAAATTACTAAAATATATTTTTTCCAAATCAACTGTCATGTAATGATTTCCTATATAAATATTTCATTGTAAAATAATTGTTGCAGAACAAAAATGGAGATTAAAGTACCGTACTTATTGAAGAAACTATACATAGATGAAAGAGTTTTAGGCGTCAAAGATAAAACTTCTGCCAACTCATCAAAACTAATTATTAGTTTGTTACAACTAAAATAAATAGAATCATATAGCTTCTTCGAGAAGCTTAGATCATGAAGAGTATGTGATATGACTAAGGAGGTTTCTATTGTATCTCACCCCCTCCCGCGGCCGCCGCAAGCCGGAGAATGGATGTCAAGCATTCCTAGCTTGAGCACAAAAGACTGAAAAGAAGGTTTGGGCAATGGCTTAGTAAAAATATCAACTAATTGAAACAGTCTATCAATTGGCCTTAAGTTAATGTTTTATTCAGTTAAAAGAGATTTGAGGTGAAATAGAATATTATGCATGGAGATAATATAATAAAGAAAAATAATAAATAAAGCAATAATAATTAAACTAAGCAAAATAAAGGATGGAGTACTACTTTTAGCCCCTTTTGGGATTCTAACACAATCACACATCTTTCAAATAAAGTAAATAATAGAATAGAAATAAGAGAATGACAAAAGAGAGTTTTATGCTAATTCGTAGCTCAAGTTTCTTAAACGAACCTATCTGATTATTTGTTCAAATGGAAATTAGGACTAAACAGTTCTATCTATCATAAGATGGGGGTTGATTGATTTTACTTAGAAAATATTTTATCTTTCAATTATCATATTTTAGACTTTCATTGCCAATTTGATAAAAATTGAAAGGAAAAGAAGAGCTTAAAGTAAAGTAAAGGACTTAATTGAAAAAGAAAGGACTTAAAAGAACGTACCTGAGCCTTTTTCGTATTGCAACTTAGCTTGGCTCCTCCTTCTTAGCAGGATCGGCGAGCTTAGAATCTCTCTCTCAGACCTTCAGCATAGAAATAGTTTAATTTTTCAAAGAAAAATATATAAGAGACTTGGGATTTTGGATAAGCAAAGAGGCTCTGAACCATTGAAGCGACTTTTTAGTGATGATTTGAATGGCTAAAGAAGCACCAAACCAAAAGCGAGGAAAATCCTTAAACTATAGTGGAATTCCTCATGAAAAGGACCTCTAATAGAAGAAAATAGATTAGGGGAAAAGTGAATTCAAGAGAATATCGTTTTGCCAATTTAGAATGCTCAAAAAGAGTAGGAGATGAGAAGAGAGTTAAATCCAAAGGAACATTTCAATTAAGGTTTCTAGAATGTAAATCATAGTGATTAGTTATTTGGAGTGAAAATGGAGGCTCATTTTATAGGAAAATGAGTGAAGGAGGATTGGCATGTTTCCTGATGTGGGATTCAGTGTGCAAATCGCATTGTGCCTGTGCGATCATCGCCCAAACACTAGCGGTTAACGGCCTGGCTTTAGCAGCGACCGCTAGGCTAGGCGATAAGCCATTAGTATATAAGCGATCAAGGCCCTAGCTAGTTTGATTTGATTTTTCTTGATCTGGATAGTTCTGTCAATACTAGCTATCAAGATTATGATTGTTGTAAATTATGATTCATTCAATAGGATCTGCTGTAATTTGGGGATATAATTGGGGAATTGATTTGTTGTAATCAAGGAATTATGTTTGTGATATTCCGACTACGGGACACAAGAATGAATCGAATCATATATTGAAAAGGGAGAAACTAATCAACAAAAGTGCCTTTCGATGAAATGGCTTGGAGAGTTGGAAGAACTCCAAGGTTAAGTGTGCTCGTTTAATGAAAATCCTAAGATGGGTGACCACTTGGGAAGTTCCCCATTTCATCTGTGAAGTGGACAATTCCTCTGGTGATTGGTGTTGGGCATGACAATGTTGTACCATTAATACATATACACATAAAATGAAAGCCAGGGGACAAAAAGTTTACTGTATAATAATCTTGTTTTGTTATGGTATCAGAGCCTAGTTGGCATTTTGTTTTTCTATTCTTGTTTTTCTTTCTATTTGAGTTCTTGGTTCATCAATTGTGAGACATTTTGGCACTTTTCTTGGCTTTTTAGTCATGGAAAATCAAAAATTCCTTGTATAAAATTTTTGGGCAAGATTTATTTTGCTTGGGACATCCAGTTCCAAATTTATGTTCAGGGAAAAGAATTATAAGGGCTTGTGGATGGCATGGACAACAAGCTTAATAGATTAGACCAAAGCTATTGAGTGGGCAACGAAAGATGCTCGTGTGAAAAGTTGGCTGCTCCAAACAATGGATCCTTCCATTGTTATCAATTTAAGACCGTACAAGACAACTAAAGCAATAAGGAATTACCTTAATAAAGTGTATGATCAGAATAGTTCTGCCCGGCGGTTTCAACTTGAATACGACATGTCAAATTACACAAGGAAAGCTGTCAATCCATGAGTATTACACAGGTTTTATAACATTATGGACCAATTATACTAACATTATTTATTCTTTTGTTTCAGATACATCTTTAGAAGTCATTATAACTCTTCATCAAACCAGTTAAAGAGATCGATTTTTGATGAAACTTAGACCTGAATTTGAGGTTGTCAGATCAAATTTGTTGCTTAGGTCTCCTCCTCCATCCTTGGATGATTGTTTGAATGAACTACTCAGGGAAGAGCAACATCACATGACACAAAATATCTTAGAGCAACAAGGGAATTCCAACAATGTTCTCAATGTTGCATATGCTACACAAGGCAAACCAAGAAACATGAAAAACCTTCAATGCTACAGTTGCAAGGGATTTTGCCACATTGCAAGTCAAAGTTCCAAAAGTTTTGCAACTGTTGCAAAATTAAAGGACATTATTTCTAAATGTAGAAACCGTCCAAAAAATTGTAATCCTTATGCTTTCCATGCCTCAACATCTAAGGTTGTGATTGAATTAACATCAGCCATTGTTTCTCAACAAACAGCCCAATCACTAACTTTAGAGAATGTTCAACATATAGTTCTTCAGCTCTTTCTACACTCGACATTACAGGTAAAAAATAAACCCTTCTTTAAAATCTGGCTTTTTGACTTGGCTGCTTAAAATCACATGACTCCATCATTTGATAATCTTCATAATGTTAAAAAATATGATGGCAACTTGAAAATTGAGACTGCTAGTGGGAATCATATTCCTATTATTGCTACTAGTGATATTTCTTCATCTCCATCCATGACAAATGCTTTCATTGCTCATGATATCACTGTTAATCTATTATCGTTTAGACAAATGGTTGATAATAACTGCCAAGTTACTTTTTCTCCTTCTGGTTGTGTTGTGCAGGAGATGGTGATAAGGAAGACGATGGCAAAGGAACCTAAATGGGGCATACTTTTTTCTCTCAATCTTAATGAACTGGCCACGCTTAAAAATGTGTCTTCAATTTTTGTCCATTGCTATCTGGGATGAGTATAGTTTGGCATATGAAGTTAGGCCACCCAAATGATAGGAATCTTTCATCTATGTTAAAATCTGGTGGGTTGGGACATAAAATTCTATATAAAAATGTCAGTTTTGATTGTTCTAGTTGCAAAATGGGTAAAAGCAAAACTCTACCTTTTCTGTATGCTACTTATGCATCTCATTGTTTTGATTTAATTCACAGTGATGTTTGGAGAATTTCACCTATTAATTCTTATGCTCAGTATAAATATTTTGTAACCTTCATTAACAATCACAGTCGTTTCACTTGGATCTATTTTTTGCATCGCAAATTTGAAGTTTTTTATGCTTTCCAAGCCTTGGTAGAAAATCAATATTTTGAAACTATCAAAATTTTAAGTTTAGATTTTGGTGGGGAATATATGTCTTAACAATTTCAAGCCTTCCAAACAAAGGATACTCTCTCTCAAAGAAGTTGTCCATATACTCCCTAGCAAAATGGTGTTGCCAAGCGCAAAAATCGCCACCTTTTTTATGTGGTGTGATCCTTACTCATTGAATCATTTGTTCCACCAAAGTTTTCGGTTGAAGCTTTATCCATTGCAGTCCACCTCATAAATCGTCTTCCTCCACCTGCACTCAATAATCAAACACCATATTTTCTCCTTCATCAAAGCCCACCTAATTATAATAATTTACATCCTTTTGGGTGTGTATGTTTTGTTTTTCTTCGTCATCAAGAACGCACCAAACTTTCTCCACAATCACTAAAATGCTTGGCTATGCACCAGATTAAAAGGGTTTTATGTGAACTACCACTCAACGGATTCGTATTTCTCATAATGTTATTTTTCTTGATCACTAAAATTTTTATCCTTCTTTTGCTGTCACTTCCAATGACTCATATCATTCTCTTCTTCTAACCTTTAAGGATCAGTCCATTAGTTCTACTACAAGCACTTCTACTCTAATTACACGATTTTGACCTGGTACTATTTACACAAGATGAAGTAGAGAAGATGAGCAAAACCAACAACCTGGTGTTTAGCTCTCTCTTCCTCACGCCCCAGAAATAGTTACTCTTTTTGAGTCTCCTCTGCCACTAGTCCCTGACATTGCAGCTCCAACACTCATAAGGTTTGCTCGTGTCTCAAAAGCTCCAGACATGTATGGTTATTCTCCTAACAGGTTTGATAATCACACATCCATGGTTGCTATATTGTCCTCTATTACCATAAAAAATCATACTCAGAAGCTATCAAATATGTTTGTTGGAAACAAGTCGTTCAAGAGGAACTTGATGCTCTCGAACTAAATCACACTTGGCAACTTGAATCATGTCCACTTGATATTACTCCCATTGGTTGTAAATGGGTTTTTACTGTTAAACTAAAATCTGATGGGTCATTTGACCGTTGTAAAGCTCGCTTGGTAACTATTGGAAATCAACAAGAATATGAAATTGACTACAAGGAAATATTTGCCCCGATTGCCAAAATGACTACAGTTCGCATAATATTGGCTATTACAGCTTCTAAAGATTGGTCTATTAATCAAATGGATGTTAAAAACGCATTTCTTCATAGGGATCTTAAAGAGAATGTTTATATGCATCCACCACTAGGTTTAAAAACTGGTCCTGATAAGGTATGTCATCTAAAATGATCTTATGTGGGCTGAAACAAGCTCCTCGAGCTTGGTTTTCAAAATTTCATTCTAACAAAGTCAGTATTATCTTTCATCGTTTTTGCACAAGACTTCTCAGGGCATAGTTCTGTTACTTGTGTATGTAAATGATATTTTAATCACTAGTAATGACCTTAGCAACCTTAAAGAACTGAAAACATCTTTACTTGCTTCTTTCCATATTAAAGATCTAGGGTCTCTTACTTATTTTTTGGGATTAGAAGTTCACAGAAGCAACAAAGGAATTTTTTTGTTAATCAACACAAGTACGTCAATGACATAATCCAATTAGCAGGATTGCAAAACACTATGCCACTTGATACTCTTATGGAAATCAATGTAAAATTTCGCAATGAGGAGGTTGAACTTCTTCCAGACCCCATACTATATCGACGACTAATTGGGAGCCTTATTTACTTGACAATTACGAGACCTGATATATCTTTTAATGTCAATTTGATAAGTCAGTTCATGGCAACCCCGAGGCATTTACATATGGCTACTATAAAATGCATTATACGCCATCCTAATGGTACTCCCCACCATGGTCTTTTTTTTTCCCAGCTGGTTCTTCCCTTACTCTTATTAATTATAGTGACTAATATTGGGCGAGATATCCTGATACACGTCATTCTATAATTGGATAAACAAGACAGAGTCTCCAAGTCTTCAACTGAAGTGGAACACTCGGCCATGTCTGCAATATGTTTGAAAATTACATGGTTACAATGGTTTGCTTTTAGAATTAGGTTATAAACAATATGATCCTACTCCTTTTCATGCTGACAAACTAGTGCTATTTAGATTGTAGCCAATCTTATCTATCATGAGCGTACCAAACACATTGAGATCAATTGCCACTCAATTCGGGAATCTTTTGATAATGGTTTTATTACTCCTCCACATATTTCAATCATCAATAGATTGCAGATATACTCACCAAGCCTCTCTCAGTTGCTCGACATTAGTTTTTTATAAATAAATTGATGCTGCTTGATTCACCAGCATCAATTTAAGAGGGGGTGTCAATACCAGCTGTTGAGATTATGATTATTGTAAATATATAATTTCATTTAATAGGATATGCTATAATTTGGGGATATAATTTGGGAATTGAATTGCTATAATTAAGGGATTATATTTTACTATTACTATATATACACATAGAATGAAAGTCAAGGGGCACAAAAAATTTACTGCACAATTAAGTTCGTGGCTCATTTCCACTCTAACTTTGGCTTATAATATATCATTGGAAAGTTCATTTCGTCTAGTTTTCATTGGTACCAAGTTTACTCAAAAATTCAATCTAGAAAAGAGTTATGACAAATCAATGCAATTTATCATTCTATTTTGCACCAATTTTGGTTCAACTGGTTTGGGTCTGGTTTGATGCATTTTCAAATTTCCTTTAGATATATGGGGTGTAAAATTTAGGTGTTCATAGAAATGAATGCCAATATTTCAATAACTTAAAATATAATTAATGATTATTTCATGCTGAAGATCCAGAACTGGTCTGATTGCTAAGGAAATTTTAGAATAAATTTTTTGCATCATTTTTTTTCTTTTTCGAAGAAAAGGCAAGGGAAATAAGTCGCAGAAGTTACAACAAAATAGACACACATTTTTATTTCATTTTTATATACAAACCTTTGTTTTTAAACAACCTAGGATATAAGAATATACAACAAAATAATTTTTCAACAAAAAATGGCTTAGCAAACATTTATACAGGCCATGTCCTAGGTTAACAATAAAATAAAAAAGCTTAAGGTGTGCTGAAGTGGTGATAGAAATTAAAGGTAGCAATTCGAGGGCTCAACCCCTGAGAGTTAAGAAGTTGAAGCATGAGAGTTACAAGAAAATTGATTTTGCTCTCAATACTAGCTAGGCAAACTGCTGTGTTATCATGAGAGCTAGTTGCAGGTGGCGCCTCTCCTTGCATGATGGGCAAAGCTTGCTCAGTTTCCATGGGAAGTTCCTCTATAGGGTCTTCCTCTTCTCTCAAGTCTATAGGTTGTTAACTCGCCTCATATGTATGAATATTTCCTCATTTGATTCTTCTTCCTCTTCTATAAGAGAATCATTCTCTTCTCCTTCAGACATTTTGGTTTCCAAATCAGTTACCTCCTCCCTACAATGGCGATGGGATCCCCTTCCATATTGCTATTGCTATCCACAAAGTAAAAATACCCTTCAATCCTAGCTACAAGCTTCATATCAATGAGTGTGCTCATTGTAAACTTATCTTTTTCAACGTCTCCTATTAGACGCTCAACAGACCCATCCTCAAAGACATTAAACCCTATAGCTAGGCGTGTGATTAACCCCCCATTATGATAGTAGCATGGGCAGCTTGATGCAACCTAGCAAAATGTTTACACAAAAATAATGCAACATCAACTTTGAGACAGTTGTAAGCTGTCCACAAGAGGAAAAGCTCCTCTCTTGTTATTTTCCCTGTGTGTTGGTGCCTACTCAAGGCATTAGCGGTGGAAGTGGTTCTAAATGTGTTATTTTCCCCTAAAAGCAATACCCAGACATCATTTTCATTATATCCTACTAGTGGTTCCCTTACTTCGTCCATTGGTGTCCCTAGAAGTAAGTTTATAGACTTGATGGCAGTAAGGTATCGGGTGAAATTCATTTCAAAGTTGATTTGGCCAAAAGCGTCTGGGTTTTTAGGGTAATACTCAAATTTGAAAGGGGACAAGGACTCTAACGTTAACCTCCTGTACGTTCTACACCTAACTAAAAACAAGCTTTTCCATTCTGTTCTTTCTAAAATCCCAATAAACTCATCTCTTATTTTCAGCCTTTCTAGAAGTGTCTCAGTAAAGTACCCAGTGGGTCTTACTGGACGTCTCGGTCGCACTAGAGGAAACTCGTGTGGCTGAGAATTCGATTCATGGCGAACTTGGCTTGGTTGGGCTAGAGTATGGGAAGCAATAGGAGGTGGAGATCTTCGACGTCGCTTGTAAATCGATCTTGCAGAAGCGGCATGTCTTGGATGCATGTTGACCAACAGCTGAAGAGATGAAGTTTACTGGGAATGTTTGAAAGAAAGAGGGAAGGAGGAGAGTTTCTGAGTTATGTGGGCCTTCAAAATATTTGAATGGTGGAAGGGTAGTTACCATTGCATGGAAGGTTAGAAGGTTTTGAAATGCAAATTCTTAAATACCATGCAAGAACAAAAAAAGTAGGTAAGTGGTGCTTTGAATGCATGGTTGCATGTAACACAAGTGTCTCTCATTTGGAAAAGAAAAATGACACCTAACATTGAATAAGTTAGGAATGCACACTTGGAAAGCGAATTGAGTACATTTGTTGCTATGTGAGGCGAGACGATCCTTGAAACGATCTGCTGGCTGGTCTTTCCATGTGTACAGTGTCCATTCTTTATGATTATAATTATTAATGCTTATTCAATCGATGTAAATATATTCCACTAAAATGCTCAATAGGTTAAAGAACTTGTGCTTATACTTGTGCTTATAAATATATTCAGATACGTTCAAAGCATGATGGGCAGAATTACATAAACTAGAGGTCTCGCAATGTGATGACAAGCTTTATAACCATTACTTTTGCCTTATATTTATGAATTTTCAAAAAAAAAGTAATTTATCAAGTATCGTTTGATTATACCTCTAAATTCTTCATATTTCTTCTTTTGTTCAGTAAAACTCTCAGGGAGAGGACCTCATAAATTGACTTTGGAGTTGCTAATACTGTCGATGAGACCCACAGATATCTCGAGGCTATTTAAGGTGAAAAAAAGTGCAAGGTTTATGAAATTGACTCATAAGTTTCTGTTTATTACAATCAATCCAGTGTTTCGTTTGTGAGTGCTACTTATCCAGATGCACATGATCCAGTTTTGACTAAGCAAGTTCATCCATTATAAGAGCAACTATAGAAACAAGCGGATGAGATGAGAGCTTAAGCTTGGTAGTTGCAGATGATGCAACAAATGGATCTTAGACAGCCTACACCTAGTCCATTGCATATAAATACTACCTCAACATGATATAAGCACTACACTAGTTTTTGGCCGCTTACTGAATTGCTATGATGGTATAACAAACTTAAATACGTTTGAACAATGCGTTGTTCTTATCTTCCTTTTTTATATTTTGAAATTATTCATCTGTTTGAACATTTAACTTATTTGAATATTTTACAATACTTTTTGCATCCTTCCATTTTATTTTTATTTGTGTCTTGGAAGGAAGGTAGGAAATTATTAATATGTGCTTTGGATATATTTCACAAGTTGTAAATTTTTTGAAATTGCTATAAGAACAAGTCTTTCTTTTTTATGTACAAGCATTTAACGAACAACGCAACACAATTTAGTGATTGATTTTATTTTATTCATTTAAAAATTAAAGACTGATTGTCAAAATTATTTAATTCATTTGAAAATTATAGCAACCGAATTGATGGATTAATATAATTGATTTAATTCATTACGAAAAAGTAGAACTAATTGCAACCTATTAATTAAAATTAAATTCTTGCTAAATAATTAGGATGGATATAGATCAATTAGAGATTGATTTAATAATATTAATATTTATTGTATTAAATATATTAGTGACTAATTAGAATCTAATTAGCAATCAATTATAGACCATACAGTAACATAACCAAGTTGATTTAAGGAAGGAATTTGTTATGTTTTTAGGAATTTGTCATTTTAACAAGACGTCCACCAACTTATTTTTTACAAATTTATAATAGAGGCAACTTAACAACTATTAAAAATTAAGTTTCTACATTAACAAAATGTCAAAAAAATTATAAAAATTAAGAAAATGTCAATATTCGTAAAAAATAAATCAGTAATCACCAAAATATCCTTATTTAGCTTCTGAGATTCAAGAAAGATGACGACCGGCGATGACAACAACAACAAATGATGATCGGCCACAACAATAGCGGCCGATAATTGGTGATAGTAACGGCGATAGTAACAATAACAACGACAACGGTGATCGACGGTAACAACGGTGACGGCAACAATAACAACGATAATAAAAGGGTAAAATAGTAAATGAATAACGAAAATGACATTATTTCAATATTTAAAGTCAAACTAACATTTTTAAAAACAAAATTCCGAAATAAGACTTTTATTACGATATCCTTTCCTAATATGGAGATAGTAATGGCACAAAGTGAGTATGAAGTTCATGAGTCCAAATATATATCCAACAAAAACTCAGATGAATCATTATTATTTCTTTCTTTCCATGATTGGTTACATAACATCATACTCATCAGAGCAACACAAACAATTAAATTAATTAACATAGTTCTGAAAATGAAAAATTAAAAAGGAAAAAGAAACAGAAAAAAGAATTAATAACACAAGGAATTAATTTAGAGATGAAAATTGAAATCTACTATTGTTGGCGTTGTGTAGAATACTTAAAGAGTATTAAATCCTAATATTTTAGAATATGAGTAATTATTTAATTAAGCACCTTGACGCCATCTTCTAAGTTCACCTTCAACCACACTTTGTGCAGACTCTGCCATTTCTGCAGATCTCAAAGCAATTTCTGTTGCTTCCTTAAGTTCCTCAATTGATTTTGAATTTTCTTCTAATCTTTTTTCTACTATAATTCTTGTTTCATTAATTATTTCGATTTTAGTTCTAACTTCTGCCTCTTTTGCTTCAGCTATACTTTCACATTCCGCCATTTTCCTTTTTAAACTCTCAAGTTCCTCCAATGAAATATTTATCATATTATTATTATCAGAGGCTTTATCTTTTTCATTTGACAAGTTTTTCATTTCTTCATGAACTGTCTTTTCTGCAATTTTTGCTTCTTCAAGCTCTTCCAAAAGAATATCAAGCTTTTCTTTTGATTCTTCAACTTTTAATATGGCCTTTTCCCTTTCTTCTCTCAATTTAATAATATCACTACGTATCATTTCTACATCTTTTCTTGCATTTTCAGCTTCAGATGATAATTTATCAAGTACCTTTTCTTCGAATTCAGTTCTCTCTCTTTTCACATCCTCTAACTCCATTTTAATAGAAGTAACCGAATTTCGAAGCAAATTCTCTTCCATAGCAACTTCCTGCAGTCTCTTTGTTGCTTCATTAAGCTCAGCAGTAACAAGTTTAACCTTATCCATTTCTAAAGCATGTACTTTTCTCATCTCGTCTTGTAAAATTTGGATTTCTTCAGTTCTTTCTGCAAGTTTAGCTTTAAGATTTTCAGTCTCATTACATTCTTTCCTTAAAAGCACTATTTTCTTCTCAACTTCTTGTTTACTCGTTTTACAAGCTTGTATATGAGCTTCTTTTTCTGCTACCATTTTTGCTGCTTGTCCCTGACCTTGTAAAGACGCAGCTCTTAGCTGTTGAGCTGATTCTTGCATGTCTTTAAGTTGCTTCGAGAGTTCATTAATTCTCTCTATATTTATATTCATCGAGCGTTTTGCTTCTGCTGCTTGCTGTAATGAAGCCGATTTCGTCTCAGCTACAGAATCGAAATCTTGGCGAAATTTTGTAAGTTCTTGCTTTGCAATAGCAAGTTGAGTTGCAATTTTCATGTAGTGGTCTCTTGCTTCTTCTAATTCTTGGCCTGCATTTCCTAAATATCTCTGAGATTTCGTTACTTCAAGTTTTTTGGTTTGCTTCTTCACAGTTTCTATAGCTTCTAAAGCTGATAGCTTTGACTCATTTGCTATTTTGAGTCTTGTAGTCAAATCATTTAGTGTTATTTTAGCTTTCTCAAGCTCTCTAACTGCTTTGGCTTTTGCTGTCTCTGCCATTTGAAATTTTGCCTTGTATTTGTCAACCTCTCTTTGAACTAACAATAGTTGAGTCTCTTTGTCCAACACATTCTGCATGCCATGCAAATTAGTACATGAAAATTGAATGTTGCTCAAGTAGACACTAACATGGTGTGAAATTTAATAATTTACGGAATAAAGTGGAATTTATTTTAAAATTTCAAGGACGACTAAAGTATAATTTAATTTAAAACACATAATAAACTTTTAGTCTGATGGCTAAAGCTGAGGTCTTGAAACTTAAATGTCACAATGATATATATATATATATATATATAGATATGAAAAACAAACGGATTTGTTAGAATATCAACCCTTAATCTACTATATTATAACATATCATTCATTATTTATGTATAGTATCATTTTTTTTTCTCCAGTAGAAATCATACGACAACCAAAATCTATTGGTCTGATTATTCCGGATTTACGCCAGATGAGGCCACGAATGCGATAAAGTGATTTAATCATACGACATCCAAAATCTATTGGTCTGATTATTTCGCATTTACTCTGGATAAGGCCACGAAGGTGATAAAGTGATTTCTACCAAAAGGTGCTTCATATTCAGGGTTTCATAGTTAACAACGTGTGATCACATTATTAGCATACATATATAAAACTTGATATATATGATGTTTTATATATATATATATATATATATAATCTTAAAACACAATAATAAAACTTTTAAGTACTGATGGCTTAAAGCTGAGGATCTTGAAACCATTAAATGTCACACAAGTGATAGATAATATATATAATATATAATAAATAAAGAGATTGAAAAATCAAACGGATTTGTTTAAGAATAATCAACCTTAATCTACTAAGTTTATAACATATCATATCGACTTATTATCTGTATAATAGTATCATTTTTTTTTCTCGCAGTAAGGAAATCCATGTGAACGACAACAAATCTATATGGTACTGGATTATCTACGGATTTACGCCAGATGAAGGCAAGCGAAATGCGATACAAGTGATATAATCATACGAACATCAGCAAAATCTATGAGATGGTACGTGTATGGTATTTCGCATGTTACTCTTGAGGATAAGGCCACGAAAGTGAAATAAAAAGTGATTGTCTACACAGAAAGAGTGCTATGTCACATATTCAGGGTTTCATAGTTAGACAACGTGTGATCACATTATTAGCAATAACTATAATAGAACTTGATATAATTATGGGAAGTGGTTTTTAATATATAATATTATTATATATCATATATATGAAATATAATACACACACGTACCATCTGAAGAAATGTTTATTCTATCTATATATATATATATATATACACACACGTACCTCTGAAGAAAGTTTTCTCTTGGCTGTAGGTTTCTCTTTATCTTTATCTTTAGAGAGGATAGCTACTGTACCAAATAAATTAACAGCTGCTCTAACAGATTGAAATGGTGCTCTCGTGTCAATCTCCCCCACCTCTCCTTTCGGAGGAGATCCTGATTTTTGTGAATCTTTTGAACGAATGTTTACCATTTTTCAGTCCTTTCCACCTTCAATACTTACCTGCAATTTTAATTTACATCATTTCAAAATGAGTTGTTCCAACTCTTAATCATTTCAAGAAGAGGAAAGAAACTTCATAATCAATTAATTTGATATCTTTGAATTGCAAATAAATTTCTAATCGTCAGAAAAAATGTTTATATTGAAATTAAATCAAAATATAAATATGAAATGAAATATAAACAAAGTACCTAAAAGATGGAAATGTAAATCTTGCATTTCCTGGAGAGGAATTCGCTGAATAAGTGAATGATTTTTGAAAGAAAAGTTGATTTTTCTGTGTTTTTTTTTTTTTTTTTTTTTTTTGAGTTTTTCACTGGTGTTTTTTTTATTTTTTTTTTTTTTTTTCCTCTTTGATCTTCCAAAACTCGGTAAAATTTGTGTGGATTACAACAACAAAATTACCCTTAAGAGAAGTTTTATTAGGTCTGGTATAAGGTTTTGGTCTTATATATATGATAAATAAACTGATTTTTGATGTAATGAGTTGCAGAGATTTTGCGTGATATTATGGTATGAAGGCTTCGTGTCTGTAAAAATAGGATTTTGTATTTTCAAAGACAAAACATAATTGAGCAGTGAATGACCGGACCAAGCTCCAAATTTAGCTCAATTTTTTTTTTTTTTTTTTTTTTTTTCTTTCCTCTGTCTCAAAACTCTAAATTTGTTGGATACAAACAAATTCCTTAAAGAAAGAAGTTGGTTTGGTTAAGGTTTTGGTCTTTATTATGTATACTATTTTTGATGTAGAGATTGCGAATTTTGCGTGATTATTAATGGTATACTTCGTGTCTGTAAAAATAGGATTTTGTTTTTCAAAAGACAAAAACATAATTAGCAGTGATGACCGAACCAACTCCAATTTCTCATTCCATTCTTGATTAGGTCAAAACATAATGAGGTCGTTCACCTTCCACATTGACACCAATTTTAACAATTTTAATTTAAAATAATAAAAATACTTACTAAAATTCAATTTGTTAAAATACTTTTTTTATTCATTGATTCTGCAGGTTTTTTTTTTTTTTTTCCTACTAAAACTTGATCTCAAAAATAAAAGTAGTTCGACAATCTAAACCAGCAATAAAGGAAAGTTGCCTGTCAGCTTGGAAAAATGTGGTGAAATTGTATTCATTCTGATTGCAAAATTAAATAAATGTTTGCTTTGAAAAGAATTACCTTAATATGAAATTCAAAATCCCAAACCATTTAATAAGAAAGAAGGAGATCAAGTAGTCATTTTTTTATTCATTAACGATGACTCAAATTAGAAATTTCTCAATCCTCTGTCAGGTTCAGTGCTTATAAGAACGTGAAATCAATGGGGATTTAGGGTTTTGCAAAGGAAAAAGAGGAGAGGAATCCAGAAAAAGAGAGAGAACTGCAAAGATAAGAAAATATATACCCATTTAATGGAACTGCAGATTTTTGTTTTTTGTATTGGTATTGTAATTTAAATTTGGATGGAACTTAACAGTTTGCGTTTGTAGTCCAACGGTTAGGATAATTGCCTTCCAAGCAATAGACCCGGGTTCGACTCCCGGCAAACGCAATGTTTTAAATGCATTTCAAATTTTAATTTCAATACAGAGCTCCAGTTTCTCATTCCATTGTTTAGCGGTATAAGTAGATGGAAGGAAATTAGAATAAGATTTAATGCAAACAAAGATCATTTGATGGCATATGTGACTGATATGATCCTATTAATGCACAACATAAAACAACACATATAGATTTTATTTTTTCATCAATTATATTGTTCACCTTCCACATCATACCAATTTTAACAATTTAATTTAAAATAATAAAATTCAATTTGTTAAAAATCTGCAGTTTCGTGCATTCCATTTGAATGTTTTTCTTTTTCTTTTTCTTTTTCTTTTTCCTGCTAAACTTGATCTCTAAAATAAAAAGAGATCGAGAATCTAAATCAGCAATAAAGAAAGTTGCCTGGCAGGTTGACAAATGTGGTGAAATTAGTAATCATTTTTTATTCATTAGAAGGTCCAATTAACAATAGACTCTTGTGGTCGAAAAGACTTAAATTCGAACATTTCACTGTTCATATTAATGAAAAGATCAATCAAACCACACAAAAATTACTAAAGCTAATTGATAGTCATTACAATAATTAAAACAGCTAATATTACTAAAACAAACAATATTGTCAAATAGGACCTAAATTGAATACCCCTAAGGCCAATTATTCAATTTTTTGTTTTAAATCCAAAAATTCTCCACATCCGTAATTATTACATAATTAAAACATATATATATATATATGCATATATTGATTGTTCTATAAAACAAAAAGAGCCTAAATGTGTAATGAGTAGGAAGGAGCTACATATTAGCTTATTCCTGTGTATAACATAGTCTTCAAGCAAACCTTCTGACAAGTTGCATTGCATTGGCTATTTTCATATAACACCGTTCCTTTTCAGTCAGCCTGCTATCCACAATATCAGGTAATAAATACTGACATTATCCAGATCGCCAAACAAAATTATAAAAGCTTACCTTAAGAGATAAATCAGAGCTTATTAATATATTATTATACATCTTCCTTTATTCAAGTAACGGAACATGCAAAAAGTAAATCACAATTGCACAAAAGTATATGCTGTTGATGTAGGAGTAAGAGTAACAACTTTGTTCATAACGAAGACCGTCGCACCGTCGGATTTGACCTGCAAAATGGAAGTGTTTCATTATTTATGGAATGATCTTTTCTTTCTTTTTTTTTTGTTTTTGTTTTTTTTTTTTTTTTTGGGGGGGCCGGGCGAAGGAGGTATGTAAGGGAACATTGCCAGAGCCAAGAAAACAATAAGCTCTTTTTTTTTTTTTTGGGGGGGGGGGGGCGCGGGCGAAGGAGGTGATGTAAGGGACACAATGCCGAGCCAAAGAAAAACAAATTAAGCTCAACAAATTCAACTGAAAATTAACGTAAGAATTTCACAAATTAACTGTAGAAATCTCCAAATTGTTGCATTATCACTCTGTAGTAGGATACAAGAGCATAGTATATAAAGTTAATGAAGTGTAGAGAGCTTACATGAGCTCAAGAACAAGGGCAGATGCCCCCCCTCCTCCATTGCAGATGGCAGCAACCCCATACTTACCATTTTTATGTCTAAGCACCTGCAAGATACTCAATTAAATGATGTATTCATTTAACCTTGTGCTTCCAAATCACAAAAGATGAAAACTAGTTCAATTTAATGATTCCCATCTACTCAACCAGCTAGCCTCTCTTCCTGGACGTTTATAACCTGAGGGAGAAAAGGGGAAGAGAGAGCCTAATAAAAGGAAAACTAGAAGGTTAACTCACAGTCATACTTGTGGAAAGAGAAAGAGAGAGAGAGAGATTAGAAAAAAGTATTTTAGACAAACTATAAAAACCAAAAATCACCATCAATCCAACAAACTATGAGTAAAGCCTCCAAAAATTACCCCTAACAATGTGACCAAGATGCGTGCCCCACTGCATCCTAATGGATGTCCCAAAGATACTGCTCCACCATGAACATTTACTTTTTCCTGCATTTATCAGAACAACAAGTTAGTACTTCAACATATTGAACTGTGCAAACATAAGATTACAAGTGAATACAACTGCCAAAGTACAACCCAACCTTAAAATTCAGAGTACATAAACAAGTAAAAAAAACGAACAATCGAGTTGTTATTTAACTCACTGGTTTAAGATTAAGAAGCTTTTGATTGGCAAGAGCCACGACCTGCAGAAAATTTATTAACATTTATAGCTTGCAAATAAACACTTGAATAAGATACTGAAACATAAACTGGAGACATAATTTCTTACAGAAAATGCTTCATTTATTTCGTAGTAATCAATCTGGGAAGTCTTCAAACCAGCATTTGAAATAGCTTTTGGTATTGCAAGGGCTGGTGCAGTTGGAAACAACTCAGGGGCCTGTTAAAACATTACTGTTTCAGCACTAAAGATCTCTGAATTGCAGCTCCTTCCGAACCCAAAAAAATACAACATTCTATAAACTACCTGGGCAGCATCAGCATATCCTCTTATCCTAGCAATCACTTGCAAACCAAGCTTAATGGCTTTTTCCCCACTCACCAGCACTAATGCAGCTGCACCATCACTATCAACAATAGCATTCCAAATTGATCATGAAGTCAAAATAATGATGCACTACATAACAACAAAGTGGGAATAATCTAGAATAGTATCATGTAGTTTCCTCAAAACACACTTGCAGATCCCTATTATAGAAAAGGATGAAGAGAGGAAAAGGCAACCATAGGATTAAAGCAGGATACGTGAAAAGGGTTGTGAACCCGAGGCTCTACATGATTGCAAAATACCAACTAAATTGAAACAGGGAGTTAAAGAGTTGTTAAACTGATTGAAAACACCGATTTTTGATTGTTATTAACAGTATATAGTGTGTTACAAGGATACGGTTTCATCAATGAGTAAAATGGCACACTGACCACGCAACCTATGATAAATAAGATCATCTTCAGACATGGGTGCACCAAGAGCAGCCAGCTGATCAAAGAGGTGCTTTGCACGATCCATGTAGGTTGCTATGGAGTCACTGTCCCGAGACAGCGCATGAGGAGCATTTTTAGCACCAAAAACTTGAGAGAGAACAGTTTCTGACAAAGAGCTTAGATCCAACTTAACACAATTGATCCTTGATATAACAGGAGGTATATTCTAGGTTTGGAGCATTGTCAATTTCTTTAGGAGGTGATGGTTTGGATCCATCAATATGATGAATTAATTGGTGTCTGCAAAGAACTGGAATAATTTGTGTTTTCCAGAGAAGGTAATTGGAGGAATTGAGTTTGATTGTGCAGAAAGAGGGGTAAGAGTCATGAGGGAGGAAGATGATGCTGACAGGGTGGCCATAGTGAGGATCGAAAAAAAAACTGGTGTTTAAACCTTGATTTGTGGCTCTGATACTATAAAGAGTTGTTAAACTGATTGAAAATGGCACACTGACTTTTGATTGTCATTAACAATTATATATAGTGTTACAAGCATATGGTTTCATCAATGAGTAAAATCAGATCCGTGCAGAAATGGGTTTGCTACAACAGAATCCCTATTACAATGGGATTATACAATTCAACAAAGTAACTGCGTATAATTGTTGTTATAGTATATTGCGGCAACTATCAACTTTCCTTAATAGGAGTTAGGATCAAAACTTGACCAGCTATGATGTACAGCAAATTGTTGGGCAGTAGAAAAGAATAACACACGCACAAGATTAGCACAGCATGAGTAAGAATGGTAATATGGGTATGCAAAAATACAAGAATGCACAAAGAAATTGTTTTGTCTTATCGAAAGCTTATGAACCTTCAGTTTATTCAGTCAAACAACAATGAAACAATTTTGTTTATATGAGCCGAACCAATAAGTTGCATCTGAATTTGCAGCCAATTTTTTTCTGAATGAAAACACTTCTTTTCAAAATCAATTCAATAAGCTATACAACTTATGCAAGAAAAGATAAAATTGTTCCCTTACAATTGAAAATGACACTATGTACCATTCTCCTCTAACATATAAAGACAAAATTACCCTCTCACAATATAAATTTAATGTATTTTTGTAAGCTGAACAACTTTTTATGCACTTTTCATGTATTCGCATATCTAAATAAATAATATTTATCAAAAAATATATTATTTTAGAAATATATTAGTTATTTACTATTGGTAATTGAATAAATAATAATTTATATGTTTGTTTTTATTGTAAGCAATGTTATTTATTGTTGAGTACTTAGAATGTCAAATATGTAAAAGAAAACACTCATTCAGGTGATTCAAATATCATATTTACCAAACAATCTCATTCAACAGTCAGTTTTATTTGCAACTTCTTAATCACAGCTCAATAAGCTATTGATTCAGATTCAATATTCAGAAATCAACACAAACAAATGATCCTTAAATAAGGAAGAAAAGCATTCACAGAAATGTAGAAAAGGTATTTAGAAAAATTAAGAGAAAGGATATTGAATATTTAGAATACGTGCCTAAGGAACCAACAAATGCTCTAATATGCAAAGTTGAGCACAATGAAATTATAAGAAATAAGAAAGGAAAAGACAAACCTAGAATTATCATGATGGAAGGGTGCGAAAGAATCTAGAAGCCTACATTTGTCTCAAATGTAACCCTAATAGGTGGAATGGAGAAAATTGATCCACATAGCAAGTCCCAACTAGTTTAAGATCAAGGCTTAATTGAGTTGAGTTAAATGGCATTGAATAGCACAAATAAATATCAACCCTAGAAACTCATCCATAAAAGGACCTCTGTCAGAGAATAGGATCTAGCAAAATGAACAAAATAATAGGATACACGTTGCCCATAATTTCATGATGTAGTGTGTGTGTGTGTGAAACAGGATTAGTCTCTCAACTTGTTCAGAAGTTTTACAGCAATGGAAGGGTGCCGTCTCTTTCAGAGAGCAGATATTTTTTATCTCTAGGTACACCTACTGTGTAGCTTATTTAGTGGACCAAATATATATATATATATAGAGAGAGAGAGAGAGAGAGGAGAGATTTACCTTATGATAGACGCATTTCCAGCTGTAACAGAACCATTCTCCTTGAAACTTGGTCTAAGCTTCCTCAATTTTGCAGCATCAAACTAGCAAGTATGGAAGAAGAAAATCAATTGACTTGTGAAAAAAAAAAGTTGCAAATTTGCAAGCAAGTTTTAAGTTAAACCCAAGCTTGAATAGTAAACCAGAAACTGATATAAATAGCACATATATGCTATCTGAATAGAAGGGGCAAAAAATTTGAATGCATTTTATAGCAAGTAAATCTGGTAATAGATAACTCAAAACCATGTTAGTACAAATTGGAGCTATTAGTCTCCACGAACAAGCTACGTAGTGCCCAGACCCAACAAATGATTAAGTTAATACTTCACCTTGACCTTTATAGATTTGTACAGCACTTATAGAACTTATCAGAGAAAATTGCTCAGTTATCCAAAAAAAGGTGGTCTGTAATGTAATAACATCTTAAGACAATTTTGCATGCCTCATCTAGATTGAAAAATTGAAAGCCTAGACATTTTGTATACCGTTCCTAAACCTTCATCCTTATTAATGATAGTGGCAGGTTTCCCTCTTCCCCCAGGAACTTCAACCTGCTTGCAAAGAAAAAATAGGTTAATAATACTGAAATTTATTCAAAGAAACTATTTCCTCCAAACACAAGTCAAAGATCAAACCGGAACTATTTCCCACGAAAAAAAACCACCATTTTGTGCAGAAATTCCACGCTCAAAGCTCCGTACAGCATAAGAATCCTGCAGCATGAGTATATCAGCAGCAAAAACAAAAACAAAACATCAAAACATAAGTTATTACAAGGTAAAAAAATGTAAGAAATGTAGAGTAATGGATATCTATCTTTTAAAAGAAAGAAAAAGCAGTTAATCATAACAAAAATCAGCATTGTGAAATTGTGCACATGATATACGGTGAGAACTTAACATCGGTTTTGTAGCTATAGTAGTATAATTAGCAATATTACAGCACATATTGAAGTCATACATAAGGATAGGTGCAAAAAAAATTAAAAAATAGAAAAAATGGAATGCTGATAACAATACCTGCTCTTCTCTTGTAATTTTATGTTGGTCAGCACAAATTTCTGCACAAACTCCCATTCCAAAGTCATTATATACATCCCACAGACCATCTTTGAGCATGCCGTCAATGATGGTATCATGTCCTAGTCGAGAACCCTTTCTGTTTGGAGATCAGGGTAAGAACAGATAAAGGATATAGGTCTCAAAATGAAAAAAATTTGGATAAATAAAAATATCAGCCATCAAGCAATTAAATGGATTGAAATAGCCCTAACAACAGTACATCAACCATTAAATCAGCAATACCACAAACATAACTACATTATACTTGAGATAAACACAGCTTGCATAAGGGAAAACAATTTTTTGTTTCATTAAAATTCAGATACTTAAGCTTTCTTAATGAAGCAGTGATAGCAGATAAGGGAAAACAATTTTCTGTTTCATTTAAAATTCAGATACTTACGCTTTATTAATGAAGCAGTAACAGCAATATATTCAAACCAGAAGTATATCATATGGTTAATGTGTGGCAATAAATCATGACAAGAATGCTTGAAATAGAAAGCTTTGAAAATAACTTCCTTAATTTTCCCAGAAATTATAACATTCTGATTGGGGACTTTCACAGAGATAATCATTGCTCGTCACTACAATTTCCTAGTTTCCGATGATCTTTATAAATTGCCAACTTCTGTAGTTCTCTCAACCTTCTTTTTCTTCCTAAGATGGGTTTTCATATGAGTAACAAGTTTGAGGCCTAAATTCTCTAACAGAATTTGTCATCTCGGTTGTCTCTTTTATCAATGGTCACAATTTTCACTTTAGAAATTGATTTTCGCTTTCTACTAGAACTATTATAAGCAAAACCAGATTCATGGGGCTGGGAGTAAGCCTCAACTGGAATCCATCCGTATTACCCTCAACTGGAATCCATCCTTATTGCACGTACTCTTGTGGTGTGTCGTTGTTGATCTGTAGGAACAATTCGTGAATTATAACTCTTACAAGAAGAATTTTCCTCCAAATCCCCCCTCCTGGCCCGCTTTAGCTTCCTCCATTTTCTTGTGATTATTGAACAGCAAACAGTCCCCTAAATATACTTCCTTTTCCTATGGATACTTATGATTGGTATCAGTAATTCATCTTCTTCAAAATCCAATAACTAGACCTTCTATGCCATTATCATAATTATCAATCCTAAGTAAGAGGATTCATGAACTAAATACTAATAAAATATATCTGTATATGCCTACCTAAAAATAAAAAATATAAAATAAAAAAAAAAATAAAAAAAAAAAATTTATGAAGAACCTCCCAACAAGTACAATCCACCTCAAAAATACATGAATAAAGGAAAAACACAAAGACTAAAAAAATCAACGAACAACAGAAAGTCAGAAATACAAACCTTGCTTCTGCAAGATACTTAGGTGCTTTGGACATGCTTTCCATCCCACCAACCACAACAATATCATTAATACCCGCTTGGATACTTAGTGCAGCAATCATAGTTGCTGAAAAACACACACAAAAAAGAAAAAATGAAATAAAGGTAATTACTCAACAGCAAATTACAAATACATCTCCCTAAAGAACAAGAGTCTACCTTTCATCCCCGAAGAACAAACTTTATTAATTGTGGTGCAATTCACTGAATTAGGAATACCCGCACCTAAAGCAGCCTGCCTTGCAGGAGCTTGTCCTAAATTAGCACTAAGAACATTGCCAAAGAAGACCTCTTGCACGAGTGATGGATCAACATTTGCTCTTTTAAGAGCAGCTGCAAATTGCATATCAAAATTACAATTTCAACAAAATTTAATACGTATACAAGATAACAAAAACAGTAATCAAGAACACTGTACACTGAATAGCTATAGAGCCGAGCTTTGTAGCTGAAAGAGATGAAAGTGAACCAAGAAAACCACCCATTGGTGTGCGTGCAACACCCACGACACAAACATCTGTTGATCACGGTGTGAAATTTAGCTACAAGTAACTAAATACTGAAAATCAAAGCAAAGAATAGGAAAGAAAGCGAAAAGGAGAAGAAAGAGAAGACCTCGAGGATTGATAGAATCCGAAGAAGCCGCCATGGAAGCAAATAATGAAGAGATACCAGTGAATTAAACCTGTCAAGTAAGCAGCAGTAAATTAGGAATTGAAAGATGAAAATCAGTTCAAAAATTAAAATGGAAAGATTGATTACCTGCGATTTGGACAAAAGGAAATGAAACCGATGGATTTTGAATTTAAGCAAACGGAATTATCATTTATTTATAATACTTCGTCTGTCTGTCTATTTTTATCTATGATGATACGTTTTTTTTTTTTTTTTTTTTTAAGCAAACGGAATTATCATTATTTTAATCTTCCGTTCTGCTCTGTCAATATTTTTATCTGATGATATACGTTTTTTTTTTTTTTTTTTTCTTGAAACGAATTTTTTTTTTTTTTTTTTTTTTCTGAAACGATGATGGTATCTGTCTGTAATTTAATGAAAAATCTTATTTGATAAAGATAATAAAGTGATAATTTAAATTTATTAAAATTTTTTTAAAATTAATTTAGAGAAAAGATAAGATCATTATAATTTATTCATATAATAAATAAAGTTTTTTGCGTTATGAGAATATCTCCTGCCTGGAGGAAATGTTTAACCGTCTTTTTTTTTTTGGCTCTATAACTACCTCCATATATACTCTCTTAAAATATTAATTTTCATAAACTTTTGATTAAGGGAGAACACTCGTATCAATGAACGAGTCTCAATCACTCTATTCAATACCGTTACTTTTTTTTTATTTTTTTGAATAAAGAGAAATTATAACTTGATTTATACTTCTGGAAGTTGGTTTGAGAATATGTCGTAGTTATATAAAAAGAAGTAAAAGACAGGAAAAAAAATGTTGCAGTACTTATTGACTTTTATATTTTTTACAAATATTATAAAATTTTAAAATAAGATAAAAAAAAATAATATATTATAAAATATTTTTTGAATATTACCGTATCAAAATCACATCAAATGTATAACTAACTTAACAGTAAATCCAAGATCGAATCATCTTTCTCACTGCCCAAAAATATTATAATAAAAATTTATTCCTAAAACGAGGGAAACATCCTTCAAAATCATAATTATAAATTTATATCTTTCTACAAGTTTTTTTATGTTCTAATTTAACATTAGTAACTTTTTTCAATTAATTTCGAACCGGAATTTAAAACTAAATTTCTCCTCAGATAGATGGGACGATTTGGGTGAGATCCAACTTTCTATTCACCCGTGACGATTATTTTTATTAATTTTTATTATTTTTATTAACTGAAAAAAGATATACTAATAATATTTTAAAATTTTTAATTAAAAAAATTGCTAATCATTGGAGTCGTATGCTGTTAGAACGTAGAAGTATTTTCCATATCTATCCATTCATTCTATCAATCATTTTACGTTGGGAAGTGTACTACGCCTCTCTCTATCGCTCTCGCTTTCCGACAGTCCAATTACAATTCCCGAGGGATGTATTCATAAGCCTGACACCTCAGCAGTACAACGTAGACTTGGCGATTTATTATTACATTTTTTTTTTTTTTTGACGAAATTCATTAAGGAATGGTCAAGGCTATCTCAGCCGTAACAATAGACATCAACTGTTGAGGAATGTCCTCAATCCAGATTTGCTCCTCACTAACAGAAGAGAGAGCATATTCAGCTAGCTCATGGGCCAGTTTATTACATGTACCACGGACAAAACGACATTGAAAAGAAACAAAACGTTGGACCAAAGTGAGAATTTGTAGAATTCTCCTACCAAACTCAGTCACAGGGGCATTCTTTTCGCACACATTGTTCACAAGCACATGGCAATCAGATTCAACGATGATTTTCGAAAAACCTATCTCCGCAGCTCGTTGAACAGCAAACAACATAGCTTCTGCCTCAGCATTCTCACTGGAGAAATCCCTGCTTACTCGGCGAATACCTGCTGCCATAATCTCTCCATTACAATTGCGAGCTACAAAACCAAAACCACAGTTCACACCCACTCGCACAGCTGCGTCAGTATTGTTCTTTATAAACTCGTTACTGGGAGCGCTCCATCTCTGCATAGAAGTGACAGACTGAGCCTCCACAAACCGAAACAGGATTTGTAGCATCATTAGCATCAACTGATACTCAGTAACAAGCGATACAGCAAGCTAGGACACCTGCAAAACAGAAGATCTCGTGTTTTGAAAAACCAGAAGATTCCGCGACGTCCAGAGTGCCCATAATACCATAAAAAGCGTCGAAACTTGCTAATCGAAACCAGAAGATCTCGTGTTTTATTATTACATTTTTAAGTGTACCAATGATTAATAAAACAGCCAAATTTGAAAAATAAAATTAATTGTTACGTTCATTCTATAATACTTTTCGCATCTAAACCTCCATTCTACAGTACTTTTAATATTTAAGAAAATGGTTTATTTCAAAATATTTATCACATTTATGATTTTAAAAAGTAATAAATATTTATTTTTTCATATTTATCCTTTATATATGACCAATAATTATTACTTCAATTTATTTATATACATCCATATGCATGAAGATGCAATTCACTTCCATAAAAACTAGTAATAATTCATGAAGAGATTTTTAGTCTATAATAAAGTATCTTAATAAATGTGTGAAAGAAGTATTTTATCTCTAATTTCATTTTAATTATAGCATGAAATTATTGTGGAAGCAAAATTTTATTAAATATAGAGCAATAAACTTTTTTTCAATTATATATAGATCAAATTATTTTAATTATTTTGATTCTCAAAATCAAATCGTTCCATCACTGTACATCACATTTTCCATTAACTCAGTAAATTAATCGAGAAGACTTGAACTCGAACCTACTACTCTTCATATAAAGTAAGAAGACCGACCAAACCATCACAAGTATAGCGCAGAAGTTTAACACACTCAAACAAGACAAGTCTGTGATTATATACCAATAAATATGATATTACAGGGTACTCAAATGGCTAATCCAACGATATATATAATTTAACCTTGGATTGTCTGAACAGTACTTCATTTTCTCAGCCTCATTCTCCGCCAACAACAGCTCAACACACACAATAGCTAGATCTTACTCTTCTATACCACCAAATATAGGTCCTAAGAGGCCTCCTGCCACTCATTTCAGATATTCTGAGAAGTATTATCCATGACAAGTTCGTAAAAACAGGCAGTTAAATATCTCTGGATGCTTATGTAATGGAATTTGATGATGAGATACAGTAGGAGATGACATTATTGAGGGTAGATAATAAACAATCAATGGAAAACCAGTGTCATATTCATCGACAGTGGCATCACCTGTAATTTTGTTGATGTAAAGCGAGATAAAATTATCCAAGTAAAGCTGATTAGTACATTTCCATTTTCCGTCATGTTAGCTAATGGTCAAATAAGAAGCAATCCATATTTTTATTCTTTTTTTTTCCTTTTTAAGCACAATAATTTACATTGCAAGTAAAACAAATATAAGTCAATCAAGAAGCAAATAAGGAGAAAAAATTTGTGCAGACGAAAAAAATGAAGAACTTTTATTTTCACAAGAACTTAGAGAAGCTAGACAATCATTAGTTCTTCTTCAATTGCAATCACAATAATTTATATAGCAACAATAACAGTACTAAGCTTGATCCTCAACTAGTTGAAGTCAGTTATATGAATCATTTGTTTTCATCCTGTTCTGTTTATAGCCACATCTTCACCAATGTCCAGAAACAGTAAATCTTTGTAAACTTTTCTCTATGTGGTTCTAGGTCAACCTCTTCCCGTCATGTAAATTAATATGATTATTTTTTAAGAAGAGGTAAAAATAAAGGTTACTGTTGATGAGTTTGGGACTTGGGAAATTGAAGGATGAAACCAAAAATCCCCACCCAAAAAGATATACTGACACATAATAAGACGTGTATCTAGTTTCATTAATTAAGATTTACTCTGTTAGTCCAAACCATAATAAAATAAAGCAAACTAGATCAAAAAGTTTCATTCCATTAAGCATGCCCTTCTAGAATAACATGGTTTTCATATACAAGAACTAACGCAAATCAACTGATTCCTATTGCGAATAAATGTCAAAATGTTGTGCGGTTAGTTGCATTTTGTTATATAAACATCAAACTCAAAATTTCTTATGTTCATATTGATTACATACAAATTCAGCAATACCTGAGTAGTTATGATAGACAACAGGGCAACAGATGACTAAATTTCTTCTCATAAACATTTTATTCGAGAATATACCGAAAGGTAAGATTAATCCGGGTTGCCTCTACTTTTGCACGCTTAGGTACTGAGTGAAGCCAATCCCTTTGTGCGTAACCTCTCATCACCAGTAGGGATCCATGCTTTAGAGTGAAAGAATGCTGATCAACCTGGCTACTCTTTTTCAATCGCTTGTTAACAGGTTCACCATCAGACCTTCTATCTCCTGCTCACACCAAACAATGACAATTAAATTAAACTCCATTCTTATGATAAAATAATCTACAGTAAGAAACTGTATGGATTCCATCAGCTTTCTGCTCAATTGCGAAATTGCTAAAGCCTGGATTATATAAGTGGTATTTTAGGAATTTTGGAATTTATGATGCAAGTTGTTGCAGCAATGAAATTCGTTAATGATGCAGGCACAACCATTAAACAAAAGCAGCAAGTGCAAACATTATGAAACCAAGTCGAACAATCAGCTTTATATTCTAAAGCCTCTTGCACATGAGAACTAACAAAAGAAAAGATGATGGGAACACTTCATACTACCTTGAGATGACTTATTGGGTCTCTTCTTCAACAAGAACTCACGTTCACATCCAAAGGAAACAGAGGCAATTTCAGGAGTCGGCCCATAAAGCTTCTCATCATCAGCATGCCAACCAACATTGTCATTTCCGCCTTTATACCTATTTAATAATAGGCTATTAAATCTACTCCCAGGAAGCACTCTCTGAACCTTCAGGGTATAATTAATTTAAAAAAAAAAAAAGATTTGAGCTCATCAAGTGAGAATGCCAGTCTCATAAGACAGATAATCATTAGGAATGATGGCAAAAGAATTCTGGAAAAAAAGCACTTACAGCCTCCAAGATGTCCTTAAGTGGAGGATAATCATCCCATGTGTAGGCATGAGGCTTATAGCCACTGTAAATCAATTGCTGCAATCCAGGACTTGCAATATAACATGTGTCCCTAGGCTGCCAAGGTAATACAATTAGCAAGGGACCGCAAATGTACAACTAACTATATAGTACCAAAAACAAAACAAACAAGAATCACCCCACAACAAAAATTATACACATGCTCAACCATAATTCAATTGTTTCATATCAAAACTCTCCAGCCAATTCTAAAGTTTGTTGATGCAAATCTATCTTGACAGAAATTTGCAATCCAGGTGTGATAAACACTACTCTTACTACTAGACACTTAGCCAACATTTAGAAACTGGCTCTATCCAAACTTTTCAAGAGCTTAGCTTCCTTTGATTATAGACCAACATATAAGCAAAGAATAAACAATCAGCCGGATTACTGTTATTATAGACTGATATACCAATCTTGAAAAGTATTACTAGCCAGGCAAGGAACATCCTTGTTCAAGTATATAGAAACACAATTTTGTTGTTTTATGTGAGTATGATTATACATAGCATCTTATACATTTCAAAGTGAAATGTGAAAATCAAAAACTTTGACACAAAATCTCCTATCCATACATACTACCTTAAAAATTTATGAACAATTGTATTTCATTAATTGTACCCAAAAAAAAAAAAAAATCATTGGAAATACCACGAAAATAAAAATAGGAACAAAGCAAAGATCTTTCCACAGAAAGAAACAAGAAATTACAATCCTATAGAGAGAGAACCTGAACACAAGAGCGACCAAAGACGCGAATGGTGGGTCTGGTCCAAGGGATATGAGAGTTGAGGTAATCGAAGAATTTCCACGAGTCATCAAATGATAAAAGCCTTTGGATATATAGGACTTGGCTTCCATTTCCAAGATCTAAGGTTTTTATCTGTTTCTCCTTTTGGCTTCCATCATCGCCTTTAGCTTCAGGGTTCTTTGGCTGCGATACCGACTTAAATTTGAAGCTCATTGCGCAAAAAATTAAAATGAACCCGAATTACACTTCATAGACAATTCAAAAGTCCTTTCTTTCTTTCTTTTTCAGTTTTCTCCTTTTTGTTTTTTTTTTTTTTTTTTTTCCTTTCTTTCTTTCTTTTCAGTTTTCTCCTTTTTGTTTTTTTTTTTTTTTTTTTTATGCCATGACACTCGGGTGGGTGTCTTAGATTTATGATTTCCAATGTTTATTGGATTTTTGAAGCATGTTATATTAAAATTTTAAGTACTTCAAAGGCTTTATCCATTCTTATTAAAAATCTCTAAAAAAATATGCATTATATTTAATTATGACGTTTTAAGATTCTATATAAATTTAAATGGGTATTAAAAAAATCATTGATTTTCTCGAAAAATTCTATTAAAATTATTGATTTTTATTAGATTTTTAGAATGTTAAATATTAAAAATAAATAGTACATTTACAAAATTTATTCTCCAATCCAAAGATTCAGCTTCGCATTTCAGGTGAAATGGCTTAAGGTAATATCTTTATTTAATTTTTGATTTTTAAAATTTTTGTTTTTTTTTTTTTTTTTTTAATGCATGAACTCGGGTGTGTCTTAGATTATGATTCCAATGTTATTGGATTTTGAAGTGTATTAAAATTTTGTAGTATTCAATTTATATTCTTATAAAATCTATAAAAATATGATTATATTTAATTATGACGTTTTAAGAGTCTATATAAATTTAATGGTATTAAAAAATCATTGATTTTGAAAAATTCTATAAAATTATTGATTTTATTAGATTTTAGAATGTTAAATATAAATAAAATAGTCATTTACAAATTTATTCTCCAATCCAAAGATTTCGCTCGATTTCAGAATGCTAGGTATATTTTATTTAATTTTTGATTTTTAAATTAAAAATATATATATTTAAATTTGCAGAGTTTTCAGCGAAACGGTCGCTAGGAGTGTGTAAACTTATCGACCGAACCAAATTTTAAATCAAACCGACTCATTTCGATTCAGTTCGTCAATTACATCAAGAAAGGTTCGGTTGTCGGTTTATTCAAATTGAACCGAATTTATTATTTAGTTTGAGTCGATTCATACAAATTCATGAGTTACCCTTAAAATTGAATCAAAATGGAAAAACTAGTCAAAATTGACTGAACCAACTAGTTCTGTTCGATTCGATTTGATTCAATTCAGAATACAAATTTGGTTTGATTCAATTCGTTCAGTTAATAAAAACTTCAATTTGTATTTTTTTTTTTGATAACCGAATCGAACTGACCATTTGGTCACTATTTAATTAAGGGGTGAAAAGCTCGTGATCTTTCGACTACATCACGACTATTATGGGGGTTGGGATGGCTAGTGGCGACACTAGCCATTGTATTTCTTTCACTGTCCTGATGGTAAGTTTTTAACGAAGAAGAAAACGATTTTAGAGAAGATAATGCATTTTTTTATCCCTCGTTGTTTTTTAGTTTTTCAATTGAGCTCAAAAATCTTTTAATTTGTTCAATTAAGTATTGAGATTAATTTTGATTGGATATATAAACATCGTTGTAATTTCATCAAAGTCAATCAAATCTATAATAAAAAGTCTTACTAATTCCATAAAACTCTATGTCAAATTCTAGTAGAACTTGTGGAAATCTTAAGAAATTCTTCAATTTCATCAAACTTAGAATTCTTTTAAAATTTAACATAATCTTAATCCAATACACTTCCTAAATATATTCGATCTAGATTGTTTTAGAATCTATTAAAATTTTATAGTATTTGATTCAGACTCTTATAAAATCCATAAAATCTGATGATATTCTATTATGATTTTTTAAAAGTTTGTACAAATTAATGGTATTCAAAAAATTACTGATTGGAAGAATTTTATATAATTATTGATTTCGGTGGATTTTAAAGCGTTAAGTATAAATAGAAGGGTCATTCCAAATTCATCGTCCAACCTAAAGATTGGTTGAATTTTAGAGTGTTAGGTATATTTTTTTAATTTTTGATTTTAAATTAAAACAAAATTTTAAACCTACAATTTTTTGGCGAGACGATCGCCGGTGGTGTGCTAACTTACTGATTGCACCAACTCATTTCAGTTTGGTTCGGTCAGCTAAATCAAGAAAGGTTCGGTTGTCGATTTATTCAGTAGTGAACTAAATTTATTATTCTGTTTGAACTGAATTATTATTTAGTTCAAGTCGGGTTCATAAAAATCCATCGGTTAGACTTAAAACCTAATCGAAATGGCAAAATCAGTCCAAATTGGCCGAACCAGCTGGTTCAGTTCGATTTGATTCGATTCAGAAGGTGAATTCAGTTTGATTTGGTTTTGTTGTGTTGATAAAAAACTTTATTAGTTTGTATTTTTTATCTTGATTTGGTGTTCGATTTGATCCAAACCGACCATTTGCTCACCCTTAACGGTCGATGTTCAGTTAAGGGAGGAGAGACCCGTGATCTTCCGTCCACATCGCGACTGCTTTGCGGGTGTGGGATGGGCAGTGGTGATGCTGGTCATTGTACGCCTTTCACTGTCCACAACGGTAAGGTTTTAAAGAAGAAGAAAACGATTTTGGAGAAGATGCATTATTTTTCAGTTTTTCAATTGGCTCAAAAACCTTTTAATTTGTTTAATTAGGTCTTGAGATTATATTTTGATTGGATATATAAAAATCATTATAATTCCATCAAAATCTATAAAATAAGTTACATCAATTCCATAAAACTCTATGTCGAATTTTAGTGGAATCCGTGAAATCTTAGAAAATTTTTCAATTCCATCAAACTACCAATTCTCTTAAAATCTAACACAATTTTAATCCAATACACCCCCAATATTGTACTGTTCGCGAAAAAAATATTTTCACCTTTTAAATTGGGTTTGACACAAACATTTTCACTTTTTAAATTGGGTTTGACACAATTTTCACTGTGATGGTTATAGATAATTTGATGTGATTTAGCCAGACACAAATTATGCACTTAACAACGCTTTTTATAAAATTATACATATTTGATACTTTAATTTACAAAACTATTCTACTTAATACTTCAATTTAAAAAATTAGACTGATTAAATAAGTGAAAAAATTATTGTTTTATACCGAGTGATAAAGAAAGGATGTCTAGTTGGTCATGCTGTCCCAATGTGTTGCCAAGCTTGAGCTACTGCAAAGTTCTTTGTAAAAAATAGTGAATTTATATATTTAGCCCTCTTTTTTTCATTATTTCAGAATGGATCTTTTCATGGTTAATCAGAATAAAATTAAAACATCTAACAAGGCATCTTAAGAAAAAAAATTGTAGTGCAACTTAGGTGTGTATATATATGTATATTTATTAACATTTTTTAGGGAATAACTGATCATAAAGTAGCTACTAATCATGTCTGATGGGAATGAGTATTCTCAACTGAAAATTGTAATCTCATAGGCATAAATCCTATAACAATATCACATTCTCAATATTATCCAATAAACACTGTAATACTTAAAATTTCATCATACTTGAGAACAATTTCAAAAGCATACACACTTGCACAGGCAATAGAAAAAAAGCGTGATCCTGCATGAGCCAGCTGAAATCTGTACTAATTTGGATGCTTCAGCTGAAAAACCTATTTGATACATCTAAAGGGATAAATGAAATATCAAGAAAAGGTAGCCTACCGGCGAAAAAAAGAACTTCCCCATGCCAATGTCAAACCTCAAAGTCTATCTCTAAGGCAATCCTAAGTTCTGCCCTATTTTGAAGAAGTGACAGAATGGTTGATTAACTTAATCTTTAGTTCTATCTCCCCGGACTCAACTGCGCAGAGTCTCAACCAAACACTTTGCACTACCTCATCATCAATGCAACTAATTGAACTTTCCCTTGCAAGACAGTTGTCAGAGTCTGGGACAACCTTTCTTAAAATTGTCTCACCAGAAGAAACTTGCAGAATTTGCTTCAATCGAGCAGCAGAGGCAATTGGTTGAAGATTGAGATGAGCATGCCCCATCTTGTCATCTGCTTTGAAACGGTCTTTATCAAATACTTCCTGTTGAAGAGCGATACAATTATATGCCACAGAAATCTAAAATGAAGAGAAAAATATGTTCACATCTTCAAACTACTTCATTAGTTATACAATTGCCAACAAAATGCATGCAGAATATAGTTCTGGGAGGAACAGTGTCACTACTAAAATTTGTCAGCAGCCACTGGCTCCAAATATTAGTTTGGATCAATAGGCAGCCCTGTCGTAAATGATTGATGATTCCATTTCACAATGTTTTTCCTCAAGAGAGCTGCTATGCATAGTCTACCTGCCACAACAGTGCAACCTTAGCCATCCATTATGATGGACATCCTACTTTGGTGCCCACAAAAATGCATGGCTTAGACCCAGTTTTGGTTTGAGTTTGCAGATGCATTTGAAAAGTGTGTTTTGATTGTTCTCCCCCACTGTTTTTGGAAAATCATAGTTCGAGTAAAGCTAAAAAATCTAGCTTCCTGCAAATCATGGTTTGCTAACCTCTGAATATCACAAATGCAGTTTACCCGAATCAACACAACCACAATGCCAAACAAGTACTAAGATTCCAGAAATAGGAATTCAAGAAATTCTGAACTCACCAGACTTAGAACTCCGACGGGTTCTCTGAGGGAGAAACTTAGCTCTTCATTCCAAACTGGATTAAGGCAACTGTTAATAACTTTGGTCTTTGATGTCTGGTACAAGGAAAACCTAGTTACTTGTATAACGGAATAATGTTTAAGAATTAAGCAGCACCCTACACAGATATAAAAGTTGAAAAGGAGAAAAACAGTAAAGGCAAAAACTTGGAAATTTCACCAAAGCATGCCAATCCAGAGAACTAGATCAGGAACAAAATGAGAAAAAACGGAATTTATCGACACGACGGAGGACATAGAAATGCAGAAGCAAACATTTGAAGTCAATCATCCTCCCAAACATTAATGCATCCATAGTTAGTGAGCAATGGACAGGAATCCACCTTCTCAACTTTTTTTCTGGTTCTAAATTTCTTGGGAAGGGAACCAGAAGGAGGGTGACCATTCCCCTCTATAAAGTGAAAGTCATTACATCCCGATTAAATACATGGAACCAGCTTTCAAATTAATGGAAAAACTGTTCGAAAAGAAGTGTGACCATCCAGTTGAAACTCATTGCGTAATTATTAGTAAGGATAAAACAGCTTGATGAACTTCACCTAATAAGAAGGCAAATAAATTTTGCTGTCCTGCCAACTTTACGGTAATTTTTTTAAGGACGATTTAAACTAAGTTAAAGAACATGAATTTATGTGTCATTTTACAAATTTATTTGTCATTCAAGAAGCCTATTGCACCAGCAACATAGTATCCACTAAAGCAATCAAATTCATTGAACTTGAGATAATCAAGCAAATGGGTTTTCCACCAATGAGTACGGGAAAGATAGAGCAAAGAATCATAGAGCCTAGAGTTACCTGATTCCCTAGTTTGACCACCACATAAGGATCACTACTCTTGAAATCACGGATAACCAATCTTTTCCCTTGCACAACGGTCACCTTTAGCAATCCTAACTGCTCTCCCATAGCCCACTAGTAAAATAAATGGAAAAAGTTCAAGAAAGAACGCAACCACTGCAAAGCACAATAATAGGAATTCAAAGAAATTATATGAGAAGTCAAAATCAAAAACTTAGAAGCAAGAATGAAGAACCAAATCCATAGAGACTATACAAAAACAACAAACCCTAATTCCCGGAGGATTAATCAAAAAGAATGAATCAAACTAGGAAAAGGAAAACAAACCAAAAAAAAAAAAAAAAAAAAACCAAATCCATAAGAGGACTATTTACAACAAAAAACAACAAAACCCTAATTCCCGGAGGATTAATGCAAAAAGAATGAATCAAAAAACTAGGAAAAGGGAAAACAAAAGCCAAAAAAAAAAAAAAAAAAAAAAAGATTAGAGCAAAAAAAAAAAAAAAAAAAAAGATAGAGCAGAACCCATCAAATCAATCATAAACATAAAGTTCACATAAGTGTATAAATTCAAGATTGGAAAAATCCCAGTAAATTTACAAAACAGAATCAGATCAAAGATCAACAAATGTTACTCTTTAAAGATTCAACAACAATTCAACTAATAGCTTAATCATTTATCGAGAGAGAGAGAGAGAGAGAGAGAGCGGACCTTGTTAAAGAGAGAAGAATTGCAGAGATAGCTTTAGATCAAAGAGAGAAGGGCAAGAAACATAGAATGGATGCAAATACCTGAAAATCAATATGTACTGGTTTCTATTCAAGCAGAGAACAAAAAAACCAAAAGCAAAACCTAGAGGATTGCAATAACTGAAAGTGAAGTATTTAAGGTAATCTTCTAGTTTAAGAAGGCAATAAATAGGCCAAATACTGCATCTTCATTGGTTTCTTCTGCTTTAGCTTTGCCAGACTAAAACAGAATAAAAAAAGAAAGAAAGAGATTTTAGTTGGACTGTGGTCAGATAATTTTTAACAGGCAATTATAACAGGGACACGTGTATTTTACGATCTGTTTTGCATCATTGGTTTGACTATTGACTATGACCAGTTCTTCAAAATTCTGTTTCGCATGTTTTTTTTCTTCTGCTTTGACTTTTGACCATCTTTTGGCTTCCTCATTTACGACTTGTAATTCACATTTTAATCTTTTAAAACGGCATAGGCAAACAAGTTTGTTTCTTCAATCCGAAGAATCATCACTGGTAATAACATTGTTCTCCAATTTTTGATTTTAACTGGTTTTTAATCATTGAGTTCATCTTTCTAACTTCTATATTTTTATTAATTTAAACCGGATCAACGCAGTTTTATAATTTAATTCATTCCACTGACCGATTGAATTTAAAAATACTAAGAAAAATAAAACCGGAGTTAACTACTTTTAAAACGATAATATATAGGAAAAATTATTATTTCGTATTTAAGTAATACTTATTGTTTGATATTTATCTAGCACATCCTTAAAGTTTGATTTCGTCGCACTAAATAGTCTTTCAGTCCAATTTTATGGATTTTAACCGTTAAATTAAGATAAAAAGACGAACATATCCTCAAATGTTATCCCCAACGTCAGACCTCTGTTATTCCTTCACCTTAGGCACAATCACCTTCAATATGCCATTTTCCATCTAATCAGTCTCCAAATAATAAACATTAATATATATTATATATATATAATATAAATATATATATATTTTTTTTTTTTTTGTGAAAATTAGAGAGCAAAACTTTTTTGTGAAAATAGAGAGCAAAACTCTAAGAATTAGATGCAAAGTTTACGGTGAGCTATGTCATACAAATCATGGTTAAGTCCCAAAGCCGTTATAGAAAGGGGTTCTAGAGGTACATGGGTACGTAAGGGAAATTTCTAGCCATTTTAGACAGCTAATCAGCACATACATTAGCCTCTCTATACGCATAGCTAATAACACAAATCCAATTATCCTGTATCATGTTTCTAATAGCCAAAATAAGCTATTGCAGACCTCCATTAGACTCCATGTTGCCTAGAATGAGTTGAACCACTGTTGCATAAACATTAATATATTAAAAACCAAACTCTTTGACTAGCTAACACTAATAATCTGTAATTTAAAGAAAGAAAAAAAAAAAAGGAAATTAAGAAGACCCTATCAATAATGTGAAATTACCAATCCCATGAGGATCATATCTTCTTCCTTTGTTTTTGCTCTCTTCTTTAACGAAAACACATCACAAACACTCTCTTCAATCCGTCTTCTTCACTACTTCTCCAAAATCCATTTCCTAATCTTGCTCTCAGGTTTCATGGATTCAATCGCTTCACTTTAATACTTGCTCTAGTTTATTCCATTAAGTCATTTCTACCTATATTAAAATGACTTTTTTGGTGTTTAGCCTGACAATGCCTTCTCATCGGTTTTGAAGAAGGGTAGTAGATGTGTGTTTAAATAATTTTTTTTAATTTTTAGAAAGTGTTTGGTAGTATTGAATTGTTAGAGGAGAAGGAGACACATATGATACTCCTACAATTGATAGGAGAGGAGCGTTCTCAATTGCCGATGGCGCTGACGGTGGCGGCCGTGGCAGTGATGGCGGTGGTGGTGGTGGAGACCGTGAAATATGAATACTCAGTAGGTAGAGGGGGATTTGATAATGAAATGATGATGGTGGGTAATGTCAATGGTGTTGCAAAGGTGGCTGGTGGTAGCTTTGTGTGGATGGTGTCGATGGTTCTAATGGTGGTGAGTGGTGGTAGCTTGGTGTAGATGTTGACAGCAATGGTGATAGCGTTGGTAATGAGTAGTATAGTTTGGTAAGGAGAGGATGGCGGTGGTGATCCTAGAGTGATGCTCAAATAATTTTTATTTAAATTAAATAAAACGTTTTTATTTAATTTTTTTTTTATTTTTCATCTGATAATAGTTATATAAAACGATAATAATTATATTTAACCCATTGGCTTCTTTTTTATTTTTTTGATTTTGATGTTTATATGTAAAAGGAAGGGTTGTAAAAAGCTTAAGGGCAATCTTTGTCATTTTAAAAGATACATTTCATCTTTCTCTTACATTTGCTTGTGTTTTAACTGGCAAAATAACTGAAAATGGATGGAAAAGCTATATAGTTTGACGGTAGTAAATTTTACGGACGGCTAAATATTTGATCAAACTATAAGATTACTTAAATAATTTAGTCAAATCTTGAGGGCAAAATAATAATTTTCCCTTATATATTGATTTTGGCATTTTTTTTTTTTCAACTATGTTTTGTACTTGGGAAAAAAATAGTCCATCCTAAATTTTTGTACAATTAACACTTAAAAACCTCTATTTTAAAAAAGCATTTTTGAGTTCTTTAAATTTTGATTCCTCAATAATTTCATCATTCCATCCAAAATGATATATTTTTCTGTTAATCTTAGCCATTTAAGTGAGTCCGATGAAAAAGAAAAATTTTAAATCTCTAAAACACCCTAAATATAACAATGTCATCTTCAACTGCGGATAGAAAGCAATTGATGCGTGGTCGTTCATTGTTGATATCTTCAGCATTGAAACAGAGATTAACTCTAATAAGAGTAATTCTTGCTTTGATGAACTCGATTGTGGTTTTGATAGTTGAGATTTTGCATAGGCAAGTTCAAGGCCATTGGACAAGAATTTGTCGTGGGCAATGGTGATGAGAGCTGAGCAAGGAAACGTGGATGACTCTTTACAGAGTGTATAAAAAACTGACTTGGTGGAGTCGATATGGATGGGGATTGTAAGATAAATTTAGGATATAGTATATGAATTTAGAACACTAATAATTATTATAAAGTGAAAACAATTTGCATATCTGATTTGTGATTTCAAGCAAAATTTTCGATATGACTCATTGTATTTTCTACAACCATGTAGATCTTCCTCTCCGTCTCCTTATTCGCGTAGGCAGCTTTCAATTCGACTAGCCAAAATTAGGGTTAAGGATGGAGAAAGACCTAGCCTAGTTTTAGAGAATTTTATGAATCTTTCCATCACAAGTCTTTATAAGATTAGGTTTACACTTTTAACGCCTAATCATACTGGCTCATTAGAGGTGCACAAGTCCATTATACAAGTGATCACATAAATATAAATTGGGCTCCACACAAATATTTTTAAACTATATTTATTAGTCCGTTTTCACAAACTAAAATAGTCCATAATTAATAGTAGCCCACATTAAAAATTCTTACATGGATTAACCGGTGCTTACCAGAGCCAATAGTAGCCCACATTAAAAATTCTTACATGGATTAACCGGTGCTTACCAGAGCCAGTAAAAGTGAGAACTTTTTTTTTTTTTTTTTTTATCTCAATTATATAAACAAATTTAATCTTGTTCTTTGATTTTGATTTATCATTTTATTCTATTGAAACAAAAGAACTGCTTTAAGTTAGTTTGCTGTGGGCATTAATCTTTGTTACTATATTCAGTTTATTTGGATATCTTTTCATTTGAGATTTGCAAATAGAATCTCAATAAACCCATTTGCTAGTTTGAGCATTTAATTTGTAACTTGCAGAAGAAATTAAACAAGAAGAAGGGAATGAATCTACTGTAATGGAGAAGCTTGAAGTTAAAATTCTTATAGATTTTATGCAGAAAATTAAAAAAGAAGGCATTAATAAATGTTTCAAGAAATATGTTCTTGATACTTTTGTAACCAAGAGAAAGAGATGTCGTTTAGAAAGTGAAGACGGTGAAGAAGAAAAGAAAGAAAGATTTAAAAAGTCATTGAAGGGACAAAATCAAAAAAAGCAAATTTCAAAAGCCAAACAAGGGTAAGAAATAGATTTTGAAATAATTGGATTAAATGCATCAATAGCTATGCCTCTTCTTGAATTGCATAGAAAAATTGATGGTAAAGTGATGGTAAGAGATTTTATCAAAATTTATATATCAATTTTTTGTCTATTATCTTTATATAGATGTGTTTTTATCATCTGAACCATTTGAAGCTGATGATGCGTTTTATATATATATCGGAGTTATGCATATATCTTTATTATATTATTTAACCGAAAAAGTTTTGACAACAATCTAAATCCAGTGCTACGGAGGAGAGAGGGAGTGAGGGTATTTTCGTACTTTCACATTAATTTCATGGCTAAAGCTGAGTGTTTTGGACGACGGTGGAGGAGGGAGTGAGGGTATTTTCGTACTTTCACATTAATTTCATGGCTAAAGCTGAGTGTTTTGGACGACGGTGGAGGAGGGAGTGAGGGTATTTTCGTACTTTCACGTTAATTTCATGGTTAAAGCTGAGTGTTTTGGACGAGAGACAAAACCGTTGACGAAATCAAAATTCGAGAACCTCATAATTGCCTTTTGAAAATAGAGGTTCTAGTGTTAATAGGCTAAAATTTAAGGACACAATTATTTTTTCCTTCTGTACTTTATAATTATATTCAATGATAGATTGTAATTAATTTCTGAACTTCATTTTTTTAGGTATAGTCATTAAAAGTTACATGTAGGGTGCAATTGCGATAATTCATATAGTTTGATACTATTATTTTATTGGACCTATGAATATTCAATCCTTAACAATTTTTATACATAAATTTTGAATTTACATGTATCATAATTGTATATTTATATAAATTTACGCATTCAAAATTTTATCAGTGACAAATCCAGATAATTTATACATCTCTACACTTAATATAATCTGTGGACTTTGCTGAATAGCACAAAGTGTATTTAATGTATAATCGGTGGACTTTGCTAAATTTAATATATAATCTTTGGACTTTGCTAAATAGCACAAAGTGTACTTAACACAATTTGTGCACATTTACAATTACATTCTTAGTGTGACATCAACGATATTTAAATTGTTAAAAAAATTTTTAAAAACATTATAGTATTTTCACTCATATTGGATACAACACAAATTGTACAAAAAAATGTTTTTCGATGATCTATTTGCCATTGTCTACAGTACTTATTTTTTGAATTATGCAGGCATGATCTTAAGAATAAGTGCTCACACTCAAATCTATATAAGTACTTTTAAAATAACCAAAGTTTTAAAAACTAGACCGGATATCGAATCGATTTGATGAGCGGATCGCGGTTGGACTAAATCAACGCAGTTCAATAAAATTTTTTTATATTTTTTATAATTATTTATAAATAATTAACAAATTATACTCATAAAAAATTTTATAATGCAAAAGTAATAATGTAATTATAAGTATTATTCAAGCGGGGATCTTTTTTCTGTCGAGTTGGGGCACTATCCATGCCAAGTATGGAGGGGTCTTGATACCGCTATTGAGTATTTGGGAGGTGGGTTCAGGTGGCGAGTGGGTAATGGTGCCTCTATAAATGTATGTGCCTCTATAAATGTATGGACTGGACCGTGGATTTCTGTGGATAGTGCGTTTTATATTAGTTCTGATGCTGTGCGGGGTTTTGAAGATCTTCGGGTGTCAAGGTTGTGTAGTGTGGATAACTTGAGTTGGGATGTGGACTTGGTTACTGGCTTATTTTCCCCTCTGATTGCTGCTCGTATTTTAGCTATGACGGTTTGTCACGGAGAGGTTGCTGATTGCCTTGTATGGCATTGGTCCTCTTCTGGTATATATATTGTTAAAATGGGATACCATTTTTTAATAGCGTAGATGCACATTCCTGCTTTAGAGCTTCCAGATGAGTTGTGGTCTAAGCTTTGGGGGCTGAAGGTCCAACCTAAGGTGCTTCACTTTCTGTGGCGTGCATGTAGGAACATTCTACCTGTGAAGGAAGTTCTGATTTCCAGAGCTATTATTTCAGAGGGCGTTTGTCCTGCTTGTGGTGGTCAGGAGTCGATCCTCCATGCTATTGTTACCTACCCTTCTGTTCATGCTCACTGGACTTTTGTAGGTTTTTCATTTACTAATGCGCCTTTGATTGGTTTCAGGGAGCTGCTTTGGTGTGTGTTGAATTCTTTAGCTAGGGATCGGTGCTGTGAGTTTGCTGTGTTGTGCTACCATATCTGGTTTGCTCGCAACAAATTTGTTTGGCACAATCAAGTTCCCTCCATATACACAGTGGTAACATCTGCTGCAAGTTCGCATCGGCAATGGCTCTCTGCCCGCCCAGCAGCGCTTCCGTCAATCTGCTGCCCCTGCAGCTGTCCCTCAGGTTTGTTGGACTGCTCATTTGGTTGGAAGATGGAAGTGTAATGTGGATGCTGCTGTTAGGAAAGATTTGGGACGCACAAAGTTTGGAGCTCTAGTTCGCGATCATTCTGGGGAGTTTGTGATGGGATGCTTCTGTCATTCTTCTGGGGTCTATGCCTTGCGAGTTGTTGAAGATATTGCTGTCTGTGAGGTCCTGTCTTATTTGCGTGATAATCAGTTACATGGCATCCAAGTGGAAACGGATTGCTTGCAGCCAGTTAATGCTATTTTAGATTGTACTGAAGATTTTTCTGATTGGAGCTTAATCATTCATGATATAAAGATCCTTTTTCAACAGCGTGATAATGTGTGTATAGCTTGAGTTAGTAGACAAGCGAAGATGCCGGCTTATGAGCTTGCTAGAGCGGCTTATTCTTATGCTAGTTTTCGTCACTGAGACTTGATTCCCTATTTTATTGAGGAACTTGTATTTTTTGATGCTCATTTGGTTCATTGATAAAGTTTGCTCTTTCTGTTTCAAAAAAAAAAAAAAAAAAATCATAAATATATAATCAAATTTTCAAATCATTCATCATCTAATATTAATCTATAACCACTGATTTTTATGTCATTCATTATCTAAACCAAATATTATATATTCAACATAATAATAAACATATCAAAATATAAATTATAATAATTTAAATGTTACAATCATATTTAAATTAATCATAAATCACACAAAACATTAAAATAATGAAGTGCTAACTAAATTATACTTTTTATTATTTTATTAAATAAATAAACAATTATTAGTTATAAAATAAGAATTTTGTAAAAATTAGTATATCATGACCTTTTAAAAAGTATTTTAATGTTTCTAAAAAAAAGTATGTTAATGTTTTAACCATTTGATCTATTTAGTTTATTATAAAAAAATTATTTTTTTTTCAAAATTAAATTGCCCAATTTGCAATAAAAAATCAAACAATGTCAGATTAGATCAGTTTAAACACTAAAAATAACTTTTATATAGATAGATCAGGTTTAAAACACTAAAAATAAACTTTTATTATATATATTATATATATAATATATATATATATATATATATATTTGAAAAATGAAAATAGACTACTATTTTTAGATGAATTTCTATATCGTTGGTTCCAAAAGATATATATTAAGAGCGTTTATTCTAAATATCACCTCAAGTTTTGAGACGTGGAGTGTGAAAGTCTTATATATATATATATAATATATATATATATAATATATATATATATATATATATTATATATATATTATTATATTATATATATACAGTGAGAATATGGTAGGATAATGAAAATTTTTCGATAGTTATGAGATTTAGGATTTATTGTAAAATATCTATTCTAAAATAATCTTAGTCATAGCTAATTAAAAAATTACATTTTATTAGTTAATTAGATATATTTATAAAAATTATTTTTTAAATCAATCATATGTGATCTGATTATCTTCTCACATATATATAAGTGTTTCCACCAATTTGGTAAGTTGAGGGTTATTCCTTATTGTGTAGCCCGCAGTATTATTTCGACCCATCAGGCTTCGAATACAGAAAATTATTTTTTGAGTAAATACATATAGATAACTAAACATTTCAAAATTTTAAGTTTTATCTTTTCTAAATTTATTTTTTAATAAATATATATGATAATTAAACATTTAAAAATTATTTTATATCTTATTTATTAAATATTTAATTCTTTTAGGATATAGATGAAAAAAGAAAAAAAATATATTCATTTTATTAATATTCTTTTCTTTTATTTTTATGATTTGATGTGATATATTTTTTAAAAAATAAATTTTCAAATAGAATATATAATATTTGATTTAGGAGAGAGAGATATATTCTTTTATATATTTTTTAAAAAATAAATTTTCAAATAGAATATATAATATTTGATTTAGGAGAGAGATAAAAAAAGAAAAAGGTATATTATTTTTTTTATATTTGAAAGATTTGATTGGATATATTTTAAAAAAATATATAAATTTTCAAATAGAATTTACATAATTAAAGCTGAGATGGTAAACGGTCGAAAATTTTAATGTACAAAAAAATATAATATTTTATTGATATATTTATATATCTATACATTGAAATATTTTTTTATTAGGTAAGTTTTGAAAAAGTTTTATTCTTAATAATAATTTTTTTTATTTTCTTTTTCATTACTGAATAATTTGTAACTACTATCATTTTAATTTAGTAAGAGATTATTGTAACTAAACTTTGTGCGAGTTTTAGAGATATATAGTAAGAGATAAGAGATTTATATCTCCCTTGCAATAAATAGATGACATATTGATGATTAAACATTTTTAATTTTCTTGATTTTTTTCTCTTCTATCTTAAATTTATTTGACTTAAAAGAAAATAATGTTTAGGAAACTCGACAAAAATTAGAACTATCTATATTTCTGTTTGGGTCACTTTTTGGGATTTCAAGAATTTGTGTGTGTACATATATTTATTTCTCTGATAAACTCGGTAAGTAATACTGCGACTGTAGCAAAGTGATTTCCATTATCCATTTAGATCATCTTGTCATTTCTTTTCTTTTACCTAGTAGTAAAAAATAATTTATTATTATAGTTGTATATATATATTGATTTGGGGTTAAGAGCAGAGAGTTGGAAATTGAACGATGGCTTGATTTTCTTTTTAAGTACCTATTAGGATATTAAAAATCTACATTTATAAATTAGAGGACTAAAGGACTAGATCTAGAAATTGGGTTGAACTTTATTCTAAGACCACTTCATTATATAAAATAAAATTAAGTACATAAGAAGTAGCGTTATAAGTAGTTTGTATAATAAAATGTAGTACAAATTAACTACTTATATTTATTTTAATCTAAATAAAATTATGCTTTAGTATTATATCTATATTGTATATAAAAGTGGGAATGAAGGAGAGAATAATGAGATTTCTTATATTGTCCTTCTAAAATCTATGATACTCAAAAATAATTTTAATGATAGCCAATTAAAAAATTTTGATAATAAAAATATATAATATCTCTATAATTTGATTGGATGTTTTTTTAACTTTTCTTCAATAGATAAATACATATAGATAATTAAATATCTAAAATTTTAAAAATTTTTTACTATTATCATCTTATTATGTCTAATTATATTTTATTCTTATATTCTTATATAAATTATTAATGATAATTTAAAAATTTTAACAATTTATTATTATTATTATCTTTATTTACTTAATTATACTATTTTATCTTTTATATTCTTATAATAAAGTTATTTAATTGATAATTTAAATCAATTTTAACATTATATTATTATTATTATCTCTTTTATTTACTATTATTGTAAATTTATTATTCAACATTATTTAAAATTTGAGTATGAATATGTTGTAGAGTATACAGAGCATTTAAAAATGTTTTTAATTTTAATTTTTAATTTATTTAAATAATATATACTAGCATAATTCATTTTGATATTAAATAACGCCGACGTATATTATTAACTTTTATTTTTAAATTACAAAAATGTGTCACTTCTGGATTTTTGTTGCCCCCAAAAAATAAGATAAAAAAAATTTATTTTAGTTTTTAAAAATCTCGATTTTGCAAACTAATTATATTTGATTATTTTATTTAATTCAAATCGTTTAATTCCTGTTCTATTTAAGGAATAAATTTATTAATAAATTTTATGTGTAAATGGATTTCAATGATTTTATGATTGGCCTAAAAAGGATAAATAAAAATAAAAATAAAAATTATTATTATTATAAAATAATTAATTTAATTTAATTTATTAAAATAGATTTTTTTATTTCCTATTGTTTAAAAATTATTAATTATATTTGCTAAAGAGGATTATAAGCCAAATTATTAGACAAAAACATGTGTAGTTAATTTCTCTTAAAAACGTAAAATGAAAGAGTGTAATATAATGATTATTTAATTTAATTTATTAAATTAGTTTTTTATTCTATTGTTAAAATATATTTATTTACTAAAGAGATTATAGCCAAAGTTATTAACAAAACATGTTAGTTAATTATAAAACGTAAAATGAAAGTTATATAATGATTTTTATAAATTAATTTGGTACTTAAATAAAAAAAATAGAAGCAATTAGCGTATAATAAAAACTATATGAACTAGTATATTGAAAATAATATAGATGACTTATTTCATATTTAAATTATTATTTTAAAGGGAGAAACAAATACATCAATTTTTTTTAAAGAGATATTACAATGCAAGACATATAATTAAAAAAAATATTTTACTGTAAATATAAAAATCACTATATTTGTTGCAATCTAAATAAGAATTTATACTTTAATTATATAAATAAAAAAGCTAAATAAATATAAAAAATGAGTATATAACCAGTATAGTCAACGTGCATCGCACGTCGTAAAAAAAACTAATAGATATAAAAATAAATATTTAATGAGCATAATACATAAAACTAGTTAATATTAAAAAGACAGTGGATAGGCTATAATTTGAGTTTTTCAAATTTGTCATGAAAACCAATTTCAATATTGACTGGTTAGTTAAAACGGTAAACGGAAATCTCTCAATACTCATTTTGAATAGTCTTTCATCGAGTTTTTCTTCATAATATAGATAGAGAGATAATTTTTATTTTATTTTATTATTACCCAATGAAATTTAGAGCTAAATAAGAAATCAATATAATCAATCAAATTAAACTATTTTTATTTAATTAAAAGCGTTAAAAGTATTTTAGTCAATCCACAGGGATACATGCCAATCTCAATGTTTCCATTCATATTCCTACTTTCTTTTTTTTGGTAAAAAATGAGAGCAAAAGCTCTAAAAATAGATGCACATTGTAGTTTAAGATACACCAATAGAATCATCTACAATCCGCAAAGCCATTTATGAAGGAAGATCCTCAAAGATGTGTGTTCCAAGAGGATAACTATTAGCCACTTAAGAGAGATGATCTACACAGAAATAAATGAGATGAGAACAAGGAGAGATCTGTTGGCAGTTGACATTCACTGACTTGATAAGTTAGTTAACATCTGTCCCATTATTATAAAGGGTTGGTTGGTACCAAATCCATGCACACTTTTCTGCTTCAGATATACTAAGGTAACGTTTGGTTTGGGTAAGAAAAATAGCCAAATTCAAAACATTATTCACTTCTGCAACAAAGACATTATTTTCTTTTTCTTTTTATTTATTTATTTATTTATTTATTTATTTTTTTTTTTTGTAGAACAGACCTTGATTTTTATGTTAATGGATTTTAATAATTCATTTAAAAATTCATGCTTGTTCATTATTGGGGTAAAATGAAAAGTTTCAGTTCATATTTAAACTAAATGAAAATCTGCATAACTAGACAAATACCATCGTATATAAAGAATTTATATACGTTAGTCATGTTAAGTAGATTCTATAAAATGTAGCTTTTACGGATTGTTTCAAATTTTTGCTCCGTTGGAAAAGCTTGTAGAAGGTGACACATTTTGGATTATAAATTCAAAAGTGACTTTCTACAATTAATATTTAGGAACACCGCAAAAAATTAATGATATAAAATTGCAAAAGGGTTTCCTTCACATACCAAAAAAAAAAAAAAAAAAATGGCTTAATAAAATTCAAAAGTGACTATTCCCTAATAAATATTTAGAGAACACCGCAAAAAAATTTAAATGAGTACTATTAAATTTGCAAAACATGGATTTCCTTCACATACCAAAAAAAAAAAAAAAAAAAAGATTTATTAATGAAATTTCAACAAGATTTTAATAGTTAATAATTAATTATCAAAACACAAACTTTTTTTGTGAGTTCAACTGAAACAACAACTCTAATGTTAACGATAACAATTTGCTCTATATATAAAAAAAAAAAAAAAAAAAAGATTTATTAATGAAATTCAACAAATTTAATTAAATTAATTTATCAAACAAACTCTTTTGAGTTCAACTAACAACAACTCTAATGTTAACATACATTGCTCTTATTTAATTGCCACATCAGAAAAATAAAAAGATTGTTTAAAAAATATTCTCCAATGCTAATGTCTATTTAATATGTTAAGCTGATATGTAAAAAAAAATAAATAAATAGACACAATCTACCACACCACCTATTTTTAAAAGGTCTCTTAGACAATGTGAGATTTATTACTCTATAATGATTGGTTGCATTAGAGAGATTTTAAAATTCAATGCCTATAAATAAACATTCATTCACATCTTCATTCACGCCTATTTCCATGGCACATCAGCCACACTCCACGTTAGCATTAGGGATGCTCTAATATATTGATTTACAACGAGAAAAGGATCACTGACCAACTCTATTAACACCTTTTCTTTTTATACATATTCATCTCTAGATTATGACAGGAATGAGCAGAAGTAACAGCATAAATTAAATTCAAGGGAGATCAAATAGATAAAATATTAAATAATTCATAATTTAAATTCATATGGAAGACAATTTTGGTTTTTATCATAATGAATTGAACAAAGGATCATCCTCATCCTGAGGATTCTCAAGAGCCATTACATGTTTCATGAACGAAGCTGCAGCTTCTTCCCTTTCCTCTAGTTTTCCCAGTTTGCCATATACCATGGCCATCAAGTAGAACGCTTCCGCAGCCAGTTCATGATACTGCCCAAGAAAAAGCAACCTAGCCTTATTATCTGAACAATGATATTGAAACCGAAGAACAACCTATAAAAAAACTGCAAATTCATTGAGCGAACTAAAGTACCATGGAAATGAAAACTTAGTGAGAACCTCACAATAAAGGTGTGCACGCATTATTGATTTGAAATCATTGAAATTCTTAAATGAATTTCACATATTTTGACAAGAAAAACTTTAAAACAACTGAACATTCCAAAATTATTCTTTTTCTAACATCTAAAACAGTGCTCCAAAAAATCAGTTTCAATCTTAATGCTAAATAGGGTCAAAAGGGTTATATTATAAGATTTTCAAGCCAATTATTTCTTTTTCTTTTTCTTTTTCTTTCTTTCTTTTTTCTTTTTCTTTTTTTTTTTTTTTTTTTTTTTTTTTTTTTTTTTTTTTTTTTTTTTTTTTTTCTTTTTTTTTTTTTTTTTTTTTTTTTTTTTTTTTTTTTTGTTTTTTTTTTTTTCTTTTTTTTTTTTTTTTTTTTTTTTTTTTTTTTTTTTTTTTTTTTTTTTTTTTTTTTTTTTTTTTTTTTTTTTTTTTTTTTTTTTTTTCTGAAGTTAGAATGAACTTCTTTACATTACATTAGTGACTGCCACTGTCCTAAAACAATTCTTTATGGACTCCAGAAATCAGCAATGGTAAGCACAAAACTATGGCATCACATGAATAAATTTTTCCACATGGTTTTGAGTTGCAGGAAGCAGATAATATCTTACATTATGAAGCAATTTATTAAATTTAATAACTAAAGCAATTCTCATGTCTCACGAAGTAAAGAAAAAAACAATAGTCTTGCTCTCTTATAAAAATTTTTATTGGTACCTGTCAACTCAAACTTTATTCAAAAGCCAACTCATCAAATTAAGAAATGACTGAAGTTACTAGCAAATCACTCGTACAACATCAAGAAATTTGAACTGATAGCCTTTTTACTCCATTGCTATTGTAAGTCAGCTGCTTATAATGGCATTAATAAAAATTTTTAATTGATTCACCATACAATTTTTTACCACCCAATTTATTTGACCAAAACACTTTTTGAACTTGTAGGAGAAAATCAGTCAGAATTTGGACCATAGAGACTCCTATGCTAGGCAAAACCAGAACGTGATATAGAAATAACTTACCCCCAACACCTGAAGCTCATCAGAAGCTTGCTTCAAAGATTCTAGCACAATCTCAGAATCTTCAAAAACTAAAGAGAAAACCGAAAAAGCATAGAGATGTCAATGTCAGAAGCAAGTTCCAGGAGAGTTTGCTCAACAAAAAATCAAGGAAAAGCAAGCATATGAATGAAAAACAGCAATCCATCGTGTCGCATGTGGAACATAAACAAGAGAAACCATGTCGAGAAACATAAGCAACACTGCTTGAATTAAGCTTAATAAATTGTAATGCCACATATATCACAATGGATGTGACCCAAGCCAAGTTAACTGAGGTTAGGAAAATCCAATGATTATCCAAAAATCGGGATAGCTACTACATGCATAGCAATCAGAAGGTCCAACTAGACCTAACGAAGTAAAAAATTTTCACAACACAGCCCTTCTAAAAGATTTATTTTTCTCATTCTCTTGGTACTGGAGAAAGCACCATACTGTAACGAAAGATAGAATTAAACAATAATAGGGAAAACCTGAATAGCTTGGATCAGAAAGATAGCATTTTGCTTCGGCAATCCGAGCCCTGGCTCGAAGCTCCAGACCCCCATGGCCAAGAACCATTGGAAGAGCCCCATGGATAAGTGATAAGGCCCTTTTTGCATGCTGCGATCCCAACAAAAGCCACAACTCAGCGAGGGTCAGAGTAGCTGATGCCTTGAGAAGATCCAAGTTGAACGACTGGCAAAATGAGAGGCTTGCCAATGCATATGGAAGGCCTAAAACAGCATTTCCTGATTTCTGATGACCACACATGAAATAATTCTTACTGTTCTATCCCATCACCTCAATATAAAGCATCCATGGAAAATATACTGCACTACCATGTGACAGGAACAGAATTAATGATGCATTAATTCATTTCATCCATAGTGACATGCAGAACTATCATTTGACATTTAACATGTGTAAGAAAAGCTAACCTGCAAACTAAAATGTATCTATTGATCAACCATCATTAAAGTGTAAATGTGAATTTTAAATGATCTATTAATAAAAGCTTTAAAAGAACTAAACAGACTACTAAATTGTTGTTTTCAACAGCATCTAAAATGATATTTTTTAAAAATGAAGTTTCAACCTCAATGTCTAACAAATTGTAAATTTAACTACAATAACTAGTATTTTATTATTTTAATACAATTAAAAATTTTTTTGGTAACGTGACACATTTGTGCGCCCACTAACTAAACTTCTAGCTTTGCCACTAATTCCAACTAATATAAAAATAGGATTCTCTAAACATTTTACTCCATAATGATACTAGATGGTGTACCTTTATAAAACTCCAAGGTTTCATTTGAATGGGGTGAGGGAAGGTTTATTAAAGTAAAATAAGGTGAGAGAGGGTATGGTTAGCAAAGAAATGCTCTTTTTTATGTTTGGAAGGAAGATAAGGCAAATGAAGGTTTAATAACCTTATGTTGTTTGGTTTGCAAGTGTTGGACCATGCAAGATTAAATATGAAGATTACAAAAGTCCTCTTCTCATGAAAAGGTGTTATTTTATATATATAAATTGCTTAGAATTATTATTTTAAATGAAATATTAATTTTTGAATATTCAATTAGTTCCTCCTAAATTAAGTAGGAAAAAGGAAAAGACAGAAAAAAATAAAAAGAAAAGTGAAGGGGATAATTTGGGGTTCTTAAAAAATAAACATGGAATTAATAGGAAACTAAAACCTTTAACCCTCCTCACTCCCCATTTGGTGGGTTGAAAAGTGGCAGATTTGGATAGTTTTCCACCCTTTAAATTACCATATAAAAAACCCTCCCTCCCTTAAATCCCATTTCCAAACAACCAAAAAATCTAACCCTACCTTACCTTACCTCAAAAATCTCCAAATACCCTCCATCCAAACAATCTCTAGAGAGCTTGTTACTTTATAGAAAATAGTTTTTTGTTTCCATTTTCCATTTTCTTCGAAAACTTTCATTTTAGTTTCCTAAGGAAAATCTGAGAAACTTGTTCATTTGTTAAAAATAGAAAATCATTTTCCAATTTGATAACCAGAAAACATTTTCACATTATAGTTGTTTTCAATAGCTAGAAAATAAAAATTCATAAAATATTTCGATGTTGCATTACTTATTTTGCAATAAGTCATCAATTTCTCTCTATCATATTTTTATTCTTCTAATTTGTTTAAAAATAAAAAAAGGGAACCATAATATTTTATTTAATTTATAGCCATAACTGTAATATATTTAAGTGAAAATATTTGTACAATGTTATTGTTAGGAAAAAAAATGATAATGTTGTTAAAAAAGAAAAGTAAATAATAAAATTAAAAATATAAGGAAAGAAACTATTTTGTTAATATTGATTAGGAAAGAAATAAAAGGAAAATAAGAAATGAAGGATGAAAACACAAGTAAAAAAACAGTTAAAAGAAGTAACAATAGTGTTGAGGACCAACAGAAAATTATGTTAAAAAAATGAAAAAATATATATATAGGCTCGGATTTGAAGCACGGACTTCAGCACAATAGGTAACTAAATTAGCAAAGTTTCCGTGTTTTCCAACAGAAAACAAAGCTCCAATAACCCTGGGAACACTGGGAAACTTATAAAACCTGTTTCCTTGAAGTAAGCCATAATGTTGGAAAACAAAGGATTGTTTGGTATCATCTATGTTGTTGGTTTTTGGTTTCAATGATCCTACACTAAAGTCACCTAGGGAAATGAGTAGATAAAACGATGAAAAACTACTTTTTGTGGGCTCCCTTCCGGTGGGCAACTTGTTTTTCTCTTTCCAAACACCAAATAATAAAAAAAAAAAAACATATATTTTAATAATATAAGTCCTTTAGCAACTGAGAAACAAAAGCCAAAACAACCATACCAAATAGGTCCCAATTGGCTTTCTAGCTCTCTTTGGAAAAATATCACTGAAAAAAAAAAAAAAAAACCCCTCTTTTCTCAGTTTTATTGGAAAAATTGTCCAAAAAATTTTCCAGTTTTCAATTGTGCAACTTCTCTCTAATTTTCTTTATTCATCATGATAAAGTACAATTTGCCACTAGGCAGTTTATTTTTCTCCATCTTCCTGAGGATGACACGAAAGAATTTAAAGCCAATGCCTAGGGACAGCCAAGATAATTACATCTAAAAATATATGTCATGCAAATGTTCCAATGTACCTTGTGAATTTCAGCTAGCAGAAGAAGAACAGTGGCATTCTCAACTTGCATATTGAATTTGTAACACATACAAAAGAGGGAATGTGCAACACCTGCAGCCTGAGGAGAAGATGTCAGACTAGGTAGAAGATTTTGGATAAAAGGAATACACAAACTAATACCATGGCGAATAAACTAGGTTAGTACAGAAAAATGCAAGAAATATATCAAGCCAGTGCCTTGATGAATTTAACTAGGTCATAATCGCATGAAACATTTAGATTAATGCAGCATCAATTTTAAAATTCACAAAGCAAAGCCTTCCAAACCTGCTAAATGTCTGTTCCAAAAACTTCAGAAGCAGAAACAATATAAGCCCAAAAAAAAAAAAAAAAAAAAACCTGCCTAAAATGTCTGTTCCAAAAAACTTCAGAAGCAGAACCATATAAGGCCCCAAAAAAAAAAAAAAAAAAAGTAAACCTCAATCCAGAATAACCACAAAAAATTTAGATCTCCCAAAAAATCCTATCCATCCCTTGCTAAGCAACCCAATGAACCAAAGATTAGGGCAAACATAATACAAATCCATAACCTTTTTTGCTTGTCTACTCAAAAACCACAAAGTTCAAATTTCAGCAAACCTTTTATTCTTCCTAACAGAAACTGAATGCCCCTCAAAACTATCAAAAAATGCGCATAGATTATGTCAAATGTTCACTAGTAGATATATATATATATATTATATATATATATATATATATATCTTACAAAGGGCTTAATTACAAAGCTAGTCATAGTGTAATGTAAATTCAGTCCTTAGATTTTTGAGACCAAATGGAAGACTTGCTTTGGTGGACTTAGGATAGAGTCCGTTAAGAGGGAGAGTCTAATTCAGGACTCTTAACCTTGGTTTAATGGACTATTATATATATATATATCTTACAAAGGGCTAATTACAAGCTAGTCATAGTGTATGTAATTCAGTCTTAGATTTTTGAGACACCAATGGAAGACTTGGCTTGGTGGACTTAGGATAGAGTCCGTTAAGAGGGAGAGGTCTAATTCAGACTCTTAACCTTGGTTGATGGACTATGTAGCAGTTACAAAGAAAATGAAATTGAGAAAACAAATGGAACCAAATAGCAGTTCACAATTTACAACTTAAAGCTATATTTTGTCATTTCTTCTTGTTTCGTTCAAAAACTTTTGCTTTTAAAAGAGAATAACACTGTGTCATTTCTTCTTGTTTCGTTCAAAAACTTTTCCTTTTAGAAGAGAATAACACTGTTGATTTCGTTAACATGAAAATCCTTGATCCTTATTTTAGATTTAGATGAGAGAAAATTTAATTCTAAGAGCTAGTAATTGAAAATATATAAACCTTGCTGAATTGATTTGCTGCAAGCAATGTACGAGCATGGCGAAGGCTTGCTTCTCGCTTCAGCCCCATGTCCACACCAGTGGCAGACGAAGCCAAAACTCCAAGTTCACCACATACTTGTTGTGCTAGTTTTAGATGTCCCCTGAACAATGGTAAAGTTAGCTTAATTCAAAATAAATATTTTAGATGGAAGGTAATAAATAAGAATTATATGAGAGACGTGTAATACTAATGTCAGTAGCCTCACCTATGTAAAGCACGTTCATGAAGCAGCTGCAGTTTCAATACCAAAATTACTGATCTTGAGACAGATAAAAATTTCTCTTCGGCTAATTTAAGAGCAGAAAAGGCTTCTGCAGGTAAACAGAAAGGAATTGATTAGAAAAAAAGGACATAATAAAAAACAACGTCTGAATATTATGAGCTTTGTCTATCCATGATGATATAAATTCAGAATTTCTTTGGAGGTGAGTGTGACAGAGGAAAACAGAGACCAACTGTTGTTTTGTTGTGCAGTTCACTTCAAACTGAGCGGAACATATCAAGGTCTAAGCAGCAAGCATGCTGGAGAATAAAGCAGAACAGCAATTTGGAAGAACTCTAGCGATTAAAGCAGAAATACAATATGGAAGTCCATTTCTTTTACAAGAGAAGGAATTTTATTAGAAGGAAGAAAAAGAATTAGAAATGGAGAACTATGATTTGAACCACGGTCAAAATGCTGTAGCCCATTCATACTGCATAACATTTAAAGGCACACCAGTGAAAGATAATCCTCCGATTATACAATTTTGGAAGTTCCAACTGCACTCATTTGATACATGTATGGCTCAATATTAACAAAGTAATCTAGCAGTCATGTGGCTAAAAGAAAAGGGGAACTGAATGGGCCAACTATAATTTAATATTAACATTTGGACAAGCATGGAGAGGAAGAGAGGAGAACAAGAGGGAGAGAGAGATACAGAGACTGAATAAATTAATTCAGAAGTCTTTTCTACTTTACAGCAGAATGCTAAAATCATAATGGTGAAAACTAGCATAAAAAGGAATCGTGCATCCATGCATTTTCAAAGGCATCAGTGGCGGTAGAAGGGAAAGGGTCCACAAACAAAGCGTATTGAGACATTGCTTTGAATCCACTCTTCCAGTAGCCATAAAGTAAATTTAAAATTAAGAATTAGTCATATATATAATAAAAATATATGATATAAAACAAAAAACTAACAATAAATGAATAAATATATAAAGTTTAAAGACTTGAGAAACGTAAAATTATGATGTAGATTCTATATAAGGATTATTTGGGACATTACCAAGTAAGTTTTGAGTCCCTAAGGCTATAAAAGATGTTATTTAAGTAAATTAATTGCTGGCTCACTATTTTAGAACTTCAGCACTATGTTTGAAAAGGCAAAATTAAGTGAGCATGAAAATAAAAGAATTTTCCCTAAATCTTATTTTGGAGAGGGGAAAATGAAATGTGGGGCCCTCAATTCACTATGTCCCAATTGGAGAGAATATGGGTGGAAATATTTCTAACCTTACAATTATTTATCTTATCTGAAAAGTGAGAAGGCAAAATAGACATTCTACTATTTGTAAAACAACTTTCCTTTACCCAATATCTAAAAAGAGGAAATATTTCTCCCACCCCCAACCTTTTCCCTCCTTATTTCCTTCCTCCCTCGTATGTTCATTCAAGACATTTGAATCTCAACAAACAGTTCCCCCCATCCCAATTACAGTTCCCACCTAAGAGCGTCTCTCAAAGTTTCATTGGAACAATCATGAACCTAGATACGCCTACAGTCAACACAGTACCAACATTAATATTAGCAATAAAAAATTGTTTAGGAATTGTGTATTAGTATCTTTAACCAAGAAGCGCTAAGAATTTTAAAGAAAAAAGGGTTTGAAAGTCGTTTTGGAATTTAAAAAATAAACAAAGATCATAATAACTAACTTTTGTTCTCAAAATTCCAAGCTTATGCCATATTTTACCAAGATTAAGAGAGATAAAATATGTACAAAGTAAATAACAGTGATTTCTTTACTTTTTAAGGTTGAGTTAATCCTAACCTGCCTTCAAGCCCAGAAGAGAGAACATAATCCAAATACTGCAAATGCATCTCATAGCTTTTTTTTTTTTTTTCCAAGGTATTGTGATTTGGACTACATATAATTATATTCTAAAGATTTGACTGAACATCTGGACATGACATTAATGAGTATTAATCTCAAAAATTTACAACAACGATTGTTTCACCTAATTGAAAAATATTAATCAAACAAAGCATTCTGCATGTGTTTCACATATGCAACATTCTAAAAACCAAATGCAAGGCTAACAAGTTGGTGTTTGGATATCAATCTAACCTTTGTATCCTTGAAATGCCGCTATGTGTTGGATAAGCTTTGCATGCACTAGTGCTGCATCTGATGAACTTGAGACAAGCAAGACAAATACAGCCTCATTGTAACTAGCTTTGTGGGGAAAATGAAATAGAGAACAGAAAGTAGTGAAAAACAAAATAAGAATAAGTAAATTTTTAAAATTACATCTGAACTTTACCTTGAGGAATCAGCAAAGCAAGTTGCATAAACCAGAGCATTTATTCGAGCAAGAGGAGTACTGTTAACAAAGATAAAAGGAAAAGAAAGGCACTAAGCATGATATCTTCAACCAGCAGTTAAAGAATTTAGTCTTTACATTTGAAAATTTCAATCAACAATCACCAGGCCCAGAATTCTCAAACAACAAAAACAATTATACATTTATGAAAAGACAACAGTAAACACTGTGTCTGATTAGTATTGGATAGAATTCATCGACTTAGAAATTTCATTCTGCCACTGCCGAATATTCTGTTCCCATATGCTTACTTTAAGCCAAAAATCTCACTCAAGAAAAAAATTCAAAAAGAAAAGGGAGAGGTAGACTTTGTGCAACATGAGTTTCCTAAATCATTTCCCAATTACATATCAAAAATCAACACCAAAAAACCATCTGATATCTAGGTTAAAGAGAATGCAAATGGAAATTACTACTCATTCCCATTTTTTCAGTTTCTGATACCCAGTCCTCAAGTGACAATGAAAATCAGGCTATAAACGTCATTCTACGCCTGATTTACCATTCCTGATTAGCAAACACCCCCAAAATATAAATGCAAACTTGATTCCCTATCCCTCAAATCCAGGAAAATAGTACCTTGCTATAAATTACAGATTCTTTTATACTATTCATAGAAGTTTGCAAATAATTGTTTGAAGTCTATGAACATCAACTACAAATTAAAAGGTACTCCTATCTTTGTTGAAGATCACCTGCCATATGTCTCCCAAGCAGTTGCACGGAGCAAGTACGAAGAGCCTAATAATTGCAGAACAGATCTAGGAATTGAACTTGGTTGTGCACAGAAAAAAGTGTGGAAATTTTGTCCAGATCCATTCTCCTGAATCAACACTAGTGAACCCGTTGGTTTTGTCAAATTTTTAAGCCAGGCAGTACTAAAAGCACAATCAGTTGTCACAGAGGAAGTTTCAGAAGCAAATTCACCAATTAGATGAGAACATAACCTCAGTTCCTGCATTAATGCAACAGGAACAGAAACAATTAGAAGCAAAATCGAAATGAAAGTATGTCTCTATATGGTAAATGTATAGTATAATTACTGAAGGTGTATTTACCTTGCAAACATTGATTGGACAAGTTTTTAGCTTCATGGAAGCTTTAGGGCCAAAGGATAGCAGAGGTCTTTGCACATGCTGCACATGATAATGATGCAAAAACAATCCCAAATTACTTATAATACAACAAGATTAAGGACTTGAAGCTCTGCCCGCTGACTCTTATCACAATGTAATTCAGTATGCTCAGAAATAAAAAAACAAGTTTTTTCCACTCAATAGTTATACTTCAATGTTAACATCATATCAGCTGGTTCAGGGTATCCTTCATGGCCTTCCCCATGAAAAGCTTTCCATAAAACAAATACAAAATTGAGATCCTCACATTTATCCTCGTGAATTTGGGACAGAACACTAACCAATAAAGTGCACAACATATATTTCATGATAAGACCATGCAAATGATATACATACAAACAAATATTAAAACTTTTGCCATTATAGCTCCCAAACAAGTATAATGCTTGCAGTAATATGAACGGGCAATTTATATATCCATGTGCTTGCCAGTGCATTTTGCAATCATGTATTCGTATGTGCCTATAAATGCTATTGCACGCAAATAAACATTCTCTCAGATTCAATTTTATAAAACTGAATTACTAAAACCTACATTAGTTTTGTAACAAATTTAACCAATGAATAGTTATAACTGAAAGCATACCTACATTGCCTCTAATAAAATAAGAACTGATAACATAAGAATGTATTAGCCCTTTAAGTATTTGATTGGAGGTAATCTTAGATATGTCACCAATGATTGGTCCTTGTCCTTGAGGGACTTGACTGGAGGTAATGTTATCAGATCTAAGTTATGTAATATAGAGAGAAATTGTTGTGAATAAAACATCATAAAACAAGTAATTTAATGCACTAAATTACTAAATTCTATTTTAACTTTGTAACAAAATTAACTAGTCAATAGTTATAACTGGAAGCAAACTTACATTAACTCAAATAAAATAAGAAATGATGATATAGAAATGTATTTCTTCAGTAGTAGATTGGAGGTAATCCTAGATATGTTATCAATATATCGGTCCTTGAGGGATTTGACTGAAGGTAATGCTATCAGATCTAAGCTACGTAATATAGGAAGAAATTGTTGCCAGTAAGACATCATAAAACAAGTAATTAATGCACTAACACAAAAATGCTTGCATGATCATGCTCACAACACATTGACACTACTCTTCAAGAAATGAAACAAGTGGTAGCAAGTTGACAAAAACAAGAATCTAGATTCACTTTCTTACCATCAAATCAAATTTAGCCATTGCAAGATGATTAGAAGCAATCAATCTTTTCAACTTCAAACTTTCTGCTCTCTTTGAAGACTCTCTCAAGAGAACAAACAACTGTTGTGCAACAGAAACGGAAGTGCCCATGCTGGTCATAGGCGAGCATGATGTCCCAAGTATTCCAGTCATAATTGAGCTACCAATTTCAGATGACAAGTTGCAGATAGCCGCTAAAGTGTAAGCAAGACAACTGTCATTACTTTGCTGCAAAAATGCAAGATAATCAGGCACTGGTGCAAAAAACATAACTCAAATAAATAACACATGCAACATCATATTGAAAAGCAAATCCTGTAAAATCATGAACCCAACCATCTGAAAGCGAAGTTCTAATGATTATGATATCTTCCATTTTTCCATGTCTGACAGAAATTCAATGAATGAAAATAAAGCTTGATAAGCATTATTTTCCTTCCATATTTATTCTCCTCCATTTGGAGAGAAAATAAAGAACCACAGAGAAAAGAAAATGATTTTAATTTCATTCCCCTCCCTTTTGTCCATACAAAAGGAAGGACAACAGCTTATATTTAAAATTTTCTTTCCCTCCTTATTTTCCTTCAATTTTCTTTCCTTCCTCCGCTGTTATCCAAACAGAGTGTTCGTAGAAATTTGGTTTCATAGTCATATTTGACAGAGACATACTTAAGTACAACACCAATGAGGCAACAATTCATGTATACAAAGGTTTGTCTATCTATGAAAAAAAAGAAGCAGGAATTGCGCATCTGTAAGTATATTGACCAATATACAAACAATAGAAAAGACGAATCAATTTTAATAATGGAAGTAAACCTGCACCAAAAACCCTCCTATTTATGTCCATCTGTGCAACCCAAAAAAGTTGTGAGAGGGATTAACAATAAATTCTCCTCTCTCCTTACTAGGGGTGAGCAAATGGTTGGGTTAACCGAAAACTGAACTGAACCAATTTATTTTTGGTAATTTGGTTTGTTTTTTTTTTTTAATAATTCAGTTCGGTTCGGTTTTGGATTTCGATTTTTTTGGTTTGGTTTCTTTTACAAAAAACAAAAAGGATCAAACAAAACCAAATTATATATATTTACATAAAAAAATATATTTCTGTAGTATTTTAATTTATAAATTTATAAAAATATTAATATAATAAAAAATTCAAATTTCAAACCAAACTGACCAAATACTCCCACCTACTACTTAAAATACAAAATAACTACTATATCTCAGAAAATTTCTTTAAATACCATGATTGGTGCTTAAAGTCTACCATGTTAACTCCCCTCCACTAATGTTAATTTCAACAAAATGTCAGCCAGGACATCTCTCCGCTCCCTCTTCCCCAAAATCAAAATCTCATATCAAAAGCTTCAGAATTTTTATTCCAAATGAACATTATATAATGCAACTAGTAAAGAAAGCATAAACTGAGATTACCTCTTGAGAAACACGAACTGCTTCAGTCAAGACCTGAACATTGGCAAGCAGAAAAATGAGAAAAATGACAATAATCATGAAAGAACAAAATAAAGTAAATAGAAAAAACCCAAATGTTTTTGATGCCACGTGCTTACCAGCAAAGCTTGCTTTGGATGCCCAAAGTAGAAATGCATCATCCCCAAACATAACAAAGCAATCTCATATCTTTCAGAGTTACTAGACCCAGAAGAAGGTGGAACAAAATCGAATCCCTCAGTCCCTGCACTTTTGTAATAATATTCATCAAATTAGTTTATTTGAACATTGAGAATCAACAAATTCATTCGACATGAACCGATGAAGATTGGGGCCTCAAAAGTCATCTTTTAATGCATGGGTGCTTCAAATGATTAGATGATGAAAGGAAAATATATCAAAGACATTAATTCAAGATATGCAATCTTAATGAAATCTAGAATTTTAAAAAAAAATCCAAAACCAACTTCAAATCACTGTTTGAATTTGGTTTTGGATGTTCATTTGTCAATTCCAGACCAAGATGGAATGAAATTTGATATGATATTGTGCTACATGACATCAATGATTTGAAAATTTTGGGGCCATTCCTATAATACTCACCATAGTGGGCAAGGAATTAAATAATTTTTTAAAACAAAAAAAAATGAGAGAGGAAAATGTTACTATACTATATTACACAATATTACTATCATGGTATACCCTCTAGTCAAGAATTGGGCCTCACTATCACTAACCACTATTTTTTTCTCTCATGCCTGCCTTTATTCATTGTTCAATATTGAGGTCGCTAAAACATAGAAGGATTATCAAGAAAATATGAAGAAGATGGCATGTACAGTATCGAATTATAATTATTGATTCATTGAATTGGGATCCTTCATTTGAACATTGGTGGAATCAAACCCTTAAATCTCACACCGATCTTACCATTGAGGTAAATACTATTGGCTTTAAGGTTCTTTTAGCTTCATATTATTTGCAAATTACGATAGGTAAAGTAAGTACATAATGTCAGGATGCTAAGCAAGTATCAAAATTCAATTCATACATCTTGCTTCACTGCATTTTCTCACCAGCATTTCTACTTTAAGCCCCACCATTCCTCACCCTCGATACCTCTACTCTTTATCTCAAATCCACCTATATTATATCCTTTCATCGTTTCCCACTCTTCTACTACTTGCCACATGTAAAGCAATAAGTAGTAGACATGAGATGATTTCAAATAGAACTGCAATCATTACAAATTATTTGAAAAAGGGAAAAAGAGAGGTAATATATAACCTTATATGCCCTACAGATCTCAACATAAAAATTAATATATAACCTTATATGCCCTACAGATCTCAACATAAAAATTAATATATAACCTTATATGCCCTACAGATCTCAACATAAAAATTAATATATAACCTTATATGCCCTACAGATCTAACCTTATATGCCCTACAGATCTCAACATAATTAGAAATCAACTCAGTAAAGAACTAGAGAATAGGTGGAATACTTTAGAAAATTTTCCTCTTCATCCAGAAGAATCCCACCAAATGTATATCATTACCTCATTGCCATTGGTGCCTCCCCCATCCCAAAATCCTTCTCTTTTTTTTTTCCACCATAAAATCAAAACTATAGCCTCTGAGATCCTATCTTATAGATTCATCATTCATCATTACAAACTCTAAAATTGAAGCATTCAAGTAAAGGGGAAAGGTTTCAAATATATCTTGCATCAGTTCCATATCATAGAAAAGGATCATAAGATTTTGTTCACAAAATATTTTTCAATCCTTTGATCTTTCTTAAACATTGTTAAGAATGTTGAACCATCACCAGAATCTAAAATTGTTTTAGATTCAAGGCTTCATTTCAAGAACATGGAACAACCAAGAAAGATCAAATCAACAGGGTCTCAAAAGGAAACATGATTTTATAGCTTGGCTTGATTAAAGAAAAGGATATAATATTTATATCACTTGCATTAATAAGAAAATTTTGCTCATTCTTATCAAAGAAATACATGATGCAGATAAATAAATAAACGATATGGACTAATGAGAAAGCCCCAAAAAAATGCTTCAAGCAAGGAAAAAATCATCTATGATGAAGAAGTTGCAAATAGAGATATGCAATTGAGCTCTAATGAAGACGAAATGTAAGGTAACAGTAAGTGTACAAGCAAAAACCAAGTCACAATAAGTTTTCATTTAGCACATTAAGGAATTGAATAGCAGGTCAAATTTGTTGGTTACCTGTAATCAAAGTAGCTATGAAGATTCTCCACAGCAGAAAAATAATCATCATGATAAAGGCTATTCAAGTAACGTAAATATTGAACCTGGCTCATAACTCAACACAGTGAAAAAGATGGAATTAACAATAGAAAGGTCAATTAACATTAGCATGCATCTCAACTTACACGATGTAGCTCAGGAGCCAATTTTTTTATCTGCCTTAAAATAAGTTCAAAAGCATTAGAACAGAAAGAGCTGCCATGTCTGTAAGAGGAAAATAACATTATATTCGTTTAAATCTCCAACCATTTAAATAGGTCAAAGGAATTAAAAAGGACAATTAGCATATGTTATCAACATAAACCTTACTTCTCAATTGCATCTGCTTGCTCCATTAAGTAACCTTGCACCTGCCAGTTTGTTCGTAGGAATACCTCACCGAAGGGATCAACATCGCTTGATGCATTTCCTGGAGGATGTACATGTGGGCAACCTTCAACACCTACATCACCATGTTTGGATCTTGGATTGTCAACAACCATAATGTCTGTATATTTAATTTCATACTTATTAATCTGATGCTTCACAACCGAAGTAATAAATCCAAAAGAAGCATATATTATAAAAGTGTTACTGGTGAATTCCTACATTTGACTTAAAGTGCAAATTAAGAGAACTTCATCGAGGCCAATTCTAGGATCTTATTCCAAAAGAAATGAAGATGCATTAAAATGCTGCATTCCTTAAGCTTAGAGGCTTTCTTGAAGAAGAAAGTAAATTAGCTCATTCTAGATTAGGTGATATATACCTAAGCAATAAGAAAACAGGATTTGAGAGGGAAAGAAATCACTTATGCAGGTTTTTTCGCTCAAACAGCAAACTTACCAAGACAGTATTCATTTAGAAAAACAAAGAGACATGAAAGAGCCATGGCACAGACATAATAAGAGAAGAAGGGAGCAAAAGAGCGAAGAAGGAAAGCCAGACACCAAAAACTTCATCTGAATGTGGTAACCTAAGCAAATACTTACTCATCATGCACAAGAGAAAATCGAGCTTTTTGTAAAACATATTTTAAGAATACACGAGGAAAACAAAAATTTACAGAACCCTTGTTAAATGAGATCATCTTCAACCTTACATGCTTAAATGATTCCACAGCATCAATTCTTGCTCTGCTGTAACAAAGAAATTATACCTTCAACCGATGAACAGAGTGCTTGGGGTGCATGAAGGTGAAAAGGAACTCTTTCATTAGCCTGCTTTCTTTCTTCAATTTCCTCAGTAAATTTCCCCAAAACAAAATTCTCCAGGTCCATATTTTCATAATCTGATAATGACTCTAAATCATTACTAGAACCATCTAAACGATGCAAATCATATGGCAGGCAACTTGAAAGGGCTTCTTTACAATAAATCCCTATATTTGTCAATAGATGGCACACACCCTGCATTAAATTCAAACATCAAAAATATCTGAATCCAACATTCTAGCAATTGGAGAAAAGAAAACAAGCATCTGCATTTAAATTCATATTTGTCAAATAGGTCTGTCAAGACAGCAACAGAGAGATGAGAATAATAGCATAATTATTACTTCAGATAAAACGTGCAAATTTTACCATTTACAAAAATCAGCTGCATATCTAGGTTAGACTATGGTCACCAGAGAACTTACTTTATCATTGACTCATAGAATTACAATCCACCTTTTGTAATCAATTTTCAATAAATGTGAATTGGGTAACATGATGACAGATTTTCACATGAAGTCAAAAAGAAATGAGTTAGTGATAAATATAGCTAGCACTCATGCATTTAATTTATTTGCTAGAAAAAACTAAGAGACAAGGTTTATATAATATCAATAATTAATTATGATAAAAAGAAACTAATATAGCAAAGAGAACTTATTGGATGGAAAGAGGATAAATAGAACACATCAGAACCCTTGTATGAACGATAAAACAATGAATAAACACAAAACTTCATTTCCAGAGGTGTTTGAGGTAGGAAGGAAAGAGCCTAGCTCTACCTTTCTTCAGATTGCCATACCATTAGACGATGAAAAATCAAGAAAAATTGTCATGTTTGGCTCATTGGTAAGTGAGAGTGAAACAGGAAATTACTATAAGGAGCCACAAAACTTCCATAGTTCAGTTTCTATATAAGGGTAAAGAAAAGAACCAGTCTTAAGACCACCGAGCCCTCTCGAATAAGTTCTACTATAGAAGCTTTCAACGTATCCGGGGACAAATCTTTCACTTACTGAGAATGACCAAATATATGTAGTAGTACCTCAAAAGATAACAAGTTGAAAGCCAGTATACAACGACGGAGAAACATTCCAAGGATACTATTCGGATCAAGAATAACTTGGTTAACTCCAAGGATTCCTAAACAAACAAATTTACAATCTTCAATTAATGTAAGGTATAAACATAAGGGCAAGCCCAAAAAAATAAGCAGTGGCCATCAACACAGAAACTGACCTCTCATTTCACTAAAAAAGGTGAACAAATCATCAGGCGATGAAAGAGATGAAACCCTACTTGTTAAATGATCAATTAACCAGTGGCCCAATGGACCTCCAATTTCCCTCAACTGACTAATGAGTTCCTCCAATTTTGGCTCCAAGATATCATCAAAAGACTGCACATGTAAAAATTTTCCTTAACACTTCGAGCATTGCAACATTTGGAAACATCAACTGATTGTTGAGAAATTACCTTGACGAGAGATAAGATATACAAACCGAAGCGGTTATGCTGCGCCACAGACGAGAAGGGGAAAGGCGGCATAGTTTCCGTGGGGATGGCATACATTTGGAGCATGATACAGACGGAAACTTTGTGTGGTGTTATTGCAAATGAGGCCGGCGCCACTGCCATTTCTGATGTTTTAACCGATAATCAGTTACCACCAGAAAAGGAGTTCTGAAAGCAGGAGCGGAAGTGTAATTTTATGGGACTGCAGATTTTTGAAATGTGTCAAAACTGTTTAGCTCTCCAACTCTAAAAGAATCAACTGTTACCTGCAGCTGGGTACATCCGGTTGTAGAAAATGGGTCATGGTACCCCATCTCGAATACCTCAAAATATCATCACTTTAGTTTTAAAAATACGACTCAACTTTGCTCTGGATTGGATTAGGAATGGCAGTGGGGCAGATACCCACTAGAAATAGACTACTCAAACCCAATTACCAATTTAACTGCCCGAATCCGTTTAGAGTTATCCGCATACTATCCGAACTCGTTTAATGATAAATTCATTCAATCCGTTTGAAACCTGAATCCATACCCGAAAATGCAACAGAAATAATAAAACAAATTCTCAACCTGAAATAGAAAAAAAAATCATTAAAATTCAACCTGAAATATATAAAAAAAAGTATAATAAATTTCTCAAACTGAAATAATAAACTAACAATAGTAATAATATTAAAATATAACAAAAATAAAACAAAATTCAACCTAAATAAATAATACACACGATCAAACCAATATCTCAATTAAATAATTTGACAATCAAAAATGCATTCAAATTGAATAATAATAAATAACAATACCAAACTAAAAATCAATTAAAACATAACAATATTAGCACTAAACGTTATAGAGTTGATTAAAAACAGGGAAAAAAAAAGAGTTGAAAAAGGAACATTCATGGCAGAAATGGGTGCAAAAACTAATTAAGCTAAGAAAGTTAGATTTGTGTTGTATATGGTTCAGACTCAGAAATTGATGACAGAATGAGTGAGAGAAGGCAGAAACAGGCACAGGCACACTACAAAACGCAAATTAAGAGCATAACTAATATGCATCACTAGGAATCTAAGTATTAGTCAAGTCATATATAACTACAAAGAGCATATCACAGTGATATAGTTGCAGTGATGTCATATATAAGTCCAATACATCTAGCATCTAAGCATTGGCATAATGATTCTTTTCGTACATGATTTCCTTTTCTTTTCCTTTTTTTTTTTTTTTTTTTTGCATAACTAAATGCATCTACTTAGAGAATCTAAGTATAGTCAGAGTCATTATAATACTTACAAAGAGCATTATCACAGTGATATATGTTTTTGCAGTGAATGTCATATATAAGTCCAATTACATCTAGCATCTAAAGCATTGCAATATTGATTCTTCGTACATGATTCCTTTTTCTTTTCTTTTTTTTTTTTTTTAGGTCTTTTTTTTTTTTTTTTTTTAAGGTTCTAAGTTGATTCTTACAAGTTTTTCATTGTTCTTGACATGAAAGGGGTCAATTTGCCAACACAACTACTTAGAAAATTCTAAGATTGGATCATTTATTTAGTAGAAATCCATCAAACAATTAGGATCCGACATTTAGGTGAAACGAATCATCTAGCAATGGCTTGTTTCAATTCAAATCGCGGCAAAACCCCCCTCCATAGCTGCTGCCATTACAAGAAACTTTCAAGTTCTCCACCAAAGTTCACAAAGGTGTATATTGAAATGACTAAAATCTCACAAGAACTTAAACTATGGTATTTATTTTCATAATGATTAAGTAATCTAGTTAGATTTTACCATAAACAGGTTTCAGAAACCCTAACCTTATGGTTGGATAGTGAAGCCAAAATTGATTGCAAGGATTAGTAGAGGAAGTGTAAAGTCATGGCGGCAGTGGTAGTGCTTATTACATTACATATTTTCAAACAAATATAAAAAATGAACGACGACTGCATTTTATAAATTTTTTCAATTACATTACTAAACATAGTAATGGAATCTCAATTACATTCAATTTCATTACATTTTTCATTGCATTACATCTTTGATTATATTACATTGCATTATATTAAACCAAACATAGCATAAAGGTATAAAAATGAAACTTTTGTATAAATTTAGTAATTTTTATAATAATAATAAATAGGGAAACAAAAAATCTATAGATAGATAAAAATTTGAGTAAATAATAAATAGCAATTATATCAATAAAATTAATGATTATATCAATAAAATTAATTTTAACCCGCTTTTTGCAGCGAGTAACTTTGCTTGTGTTCTTCTAAATTCATTTGCTTAACTTCTCACCTATCATTTATAAATTTTTCTAATTTCCTTCACATATATATTTTTAGCATCAACTCAAAAGGGATATCAATTTCTAGTAATTTTTTCTTCTTGCATTTCTTACTGCATACAATGACATACTTGTCTCAATATATAAATTTACTCATATATTTTTCATGAAAAAATTATGGCACCCTCAACTTTTACTTTGACCTATTGGATACTTTAACTTATAAAATTGGATCCGTTAAATACTTTATTTGACCTATTGAAAACCTTAACTTGTAAATTTTGATCAATTAAACATTTATTGAATAGTTGAAAAATGTAAAAATTATTATTCTAAAAGTTTTATTAACCACGTAAGAAATCAATATTTTACATATAACAGTCAAAAATTTTAAAAATTTATTGTTTTTAGTATAAAGAGGCTAAATCATTAAAAGTACTCCAAACTTTACTGGTAGTTTTAATTGTACCCCAAATCCAATTTTCTTCTCCTAATATCATGAACTTCAATTTTAGTTATAATAACACCCTAATTTTAAATTGTATTCAATTTAATGATAAAATATTATTTTCGTTGGACCTATACTCTCTTTTATGGTCAGGTTAACTAAAAATTTATTGTTTAACAATGCCCTAACTAATATTGGTTAGGAATTTAAATTCATAAAAAAAGCCAAGTCAAATAATAAATTTTTAGTTAGTTATATAAGCACATAAAATATTATTTTAGATTTTTATTTTGTCATTTTTTAAGCATGGAATATTGTTTATACTCAGGTTAAATCTCTTATAAAAATGAATTTTTATTTGTTATGGCATCATTTTATTTTTTGGGAATCATTACTTGTTGTCAATATTATATAAATAAATAAAAGTATTTTATTTTTTTGTTGTCAAATATTATTAATAAATAAATAAAAGTATTTTATTTTTAGTGAATATATTTTAAAGTATTTTATTTTTAAGATGAATATATTTTTTATTTTAATATTATATAAATAAATAAATTTATTTATTTATTTATAAGCAATGGTAGTGGGAATGAGTCTAGTTCAGGAGAAAAGGTTAAATTGAGTCTAATAAAATAATATTTTATTCATTAAATTGGGTACAATCTGAAATTAGGGTGCTATTATAACTAAAATTAAAGTTTGAGGTACTAGGAGAAGAAAGTTGAATGTAGGATACAATTACAACTACCAGCAAAGTTTGAGGTAGTTTTAATAATTTAGCCGCATAAGCATAGAATAATTACAAAAAGTGAAGTCTAAGTTGCCATACAATTTTTTCGTCAAAGTTCAAGGGTTACGTTATTTACTTTGGCCATATACTTTCACTATTTCAATAAGCCACACATAAGAACTTGTAATTTCTTTTTAGGCCTAATGCATAAATTTAACCCTATAATTTTGATGATTATTGTTGTGAGTCCTTGAATTTTACGGAGAATGCATCATAACATACACTTTCACATGTTAATAATAACTATGTTCTTCGCCAAAATAAAATACGGAAGTGTTGGGTCATAATTGAACCCCAAGAAAGATATTGCACTTTGGTGAGGGACACAATTATTATTGAAATTGAAGAGTATATGATTATTATTGAATTCTCGCAAAGTTTAAGGAGTCATGAGGATAGTTGACAAAGTTTAGGTCAAATTTATGCATTAGCCGTTCTTTTTGCTTTCAAATTTATTGCATAAATAACTCATTTATTATTGGAACTCAAATATTTCAACACGACATGATATATCTAAATCATACAATGTTTTGTATGTGCTTTGTATCCAAATTAACCCTCCTAACAACTATATAACGATTACTTTTAAGAATATTTGTGCAAAGTTGATTTTTTATATTTACTATAAGTACCCCCTTTTCATTTAAAAAAAAAAATTAAGCTCAAGCTTTTTTCTAAAAAAAGTAAATTAAGTTCTAGCACCTTTTTCTAAAAAATAAATTCAATTGAACCAATGTTAAGAAAAACAAGAGATCAAGTACCCATACATGATATGTAAAGGGAATGGGTCGAATACCTACCTCTTGTAGTGCAGCAGATGAACAACCTCTAGCCTTGCGTTATAAGTTTGCTGACAGTAGGAGAAATCACAATCAAAAGAATTACTCCTATTGTCCACACTCTAAAACCCCTACTATCTCTTGTAGTGATGAGAGAGCAATCAGATTTTTTCTAAAGTGTATTCTTTTTGTTTCTACTTTTGTGTCTACGTAAAAGAGAACACGTTCTCTTTTTTCTTTAAATTTAGTTGGATTACCGTAGGTTGAAGGAATCCAACTAAAACACAAATGCTCTAAAATAATAACCGACTAAGATATTTAAATTTATTTAAATACTCATAATAATAATTAGACATATTAATTATTATCACGTATTATTGATGGACCCAGGTTAAAAAGGTCAATCATGGGCGAACCCGTATAGACATATTAATTATTATCACGTATTATTGATGGACCCAGGTTAAAAAGGTCAATCATGGGCGAACCCGTACCCCTCCATTAATTCTAACATCTCCCACTCACACATGACAAGACTTTACCCGCACGTAGCTGGACATTCATACGTAGCAGATAGACCGTGCAACCAGCATACTTTGACAATTCTCTAATATAGATTTCTTAAAGATATATAGCATCTCAAAAAAAAAAAAAAACCCTCTTTAGAGTAGAAAAGTATGCAATAACCCAGATTATTTATCACATTTTATTTATCACATCAATATAGCATCGCACAACATATTTCATGTTCACAATTATATTTACTTATAAACATAATTGGTCGACCTGTGAACATGAAAACTCAAATGTGACTGCAAAATAATCTTTCCTTCAAATGAATTCTCTCGATCATAATTCAACTCGCTTTTTTAGAAATGCCCAATTCAATCGCATCAATCGTGATTTTTTGGCAACACTCTAAGATAGAAATCTCTGAATTATATCTCAAGAATTAGTCAAACGTCATAAGGGTACCGGTTTAGAGAATTATTATTCTCATAAGGGTCTCACATAACCAACATTTGAGATCACTTACCTTGGCAACTC